ATGTACTTTATGAACTTCCTGCATGTACATCTACTGTGTTTTGTTTTATTCCTTTCGATTATCATGCGATTACTATTCAAACTATAATAGTTGATGACTGTCAGACTCGATTGAAGTGTTTTTATGAGCGATAGAATTAGTAAGCAATTAAATTTTACTGCTTCGCTTAAATGAGTTGAACATTTTTTTGAGTAGATACAAGCTACTGTTTGCTATATTTGGATATAACAATAAACATTTGATTTATTTCATCAGATTTTCAATTTCCCCTTAAGTCATTAAGATTCAAAATTAGATAATGAGAGAAATAATTCGAAAAGATCAAACAAACAAAACTCATTGTTTGATTTATTTTGAGAACTTGGTAAGTAGCTGTAGAGAAACAAGGGGAAACCAACATTATGGGGAAAAAGTTTTAAATGAAATTTCTTTACAGAATTTCGGATCAGTTTTGAGAACTTACTAGAGCTCCAAGTCGACTCTAGATTTTTACATCATATTGTGTTCCCCTTGTCAAGAAGTCATGACAATTAAGACTGATAAAGAGTTTTTCTGATGATATTTTTGAAGAATAGAAACGAAGACTTAGATAATTTTGAGAATTTTGTTGACACAGATTATTGTGTAAGTCTATTTATAGATGCTCAAAAGGAGCTTTCAATACTTTAATATCTCAAGTTGTAATATTAAAAGGTAGCAAAGTTAATGAAAGGATTTACAATAAATTGAATATTCTTGTCAGAGCAAGGCATGGAAACTCAGGATTAATCCTGAAAAATCCAAAAAACTCCCTGAGCCAATAAACGTGGAAATGTAAAATCCCTTTAAAATCCTTGATGCATTTGATGAATACTTTCGAGATTTAAAAGATATTTTACATTTCCACGTTTATTGGCTCAGGGAGTTTTTTGGATTTTTGGGATTTTTCAGGATTAATCCTGAGTTTCCACGTCTTGATTCAGAGTTTCTTAACCTTAATAGCTACCAGTAGCTTTGAAAACTGAGATTTATGTGATTTGATATCTATTTAAAAACTTTCATTTAATTTGAATCAAAGCTTGTCTAATCTTCTGAACATACCATAACAATTTTTTGGCAGTGTTTGCTAAAAAAGAAATACAAAACTTTATCAAAGCTACACATTTAAATCTGTGTTCATTCCTATTCAATGTCAAAAAGTACTTAGCAGTTAAAAAGGTTAACAAGATTTTCTAATTAGAATAGTGTGTTAATTTTAATACGATTAACTCTTTCAAATTGACATGAATTGATTCCTCAATGAACTGCCTATTTACATTAGATCTCAATCTATTTTCAAATACGTATTCCTCTCAATGCTTTTATCTCATCACAACGCCAGCATAATCTCATTAAAATAACAAAACGAAATAGACATTCAAACATTTTTTTCTATTTCCTGTTCTAGTATAAGAAGACTCATCGACATAAATCAACCCTTAAATCTCAATTTAATTGATTTATGATGAGAATAAATAAAGATTTCAATTTCCCACAATTTTTTTTTACTTCCTACAAATTGATTTTCCAATGAATTGAACTTTTTGCCTCAATCCCACAAACACAATGATCTAAGCCGAATCCTAATATCACTCAAACTAATTCTCCAATTTTAACTTTAAGCACATAATCGCATTCAACATTGGAATAAGGAAGAGAAAATAGATGTGAAACTTTTTATATGCACGATTCCTAACTTCAGGACTCTTCACATAAGACTAATATAAGAGTTTCTGTAAAGCTTTTGTCAAAGGAGAATTTTTCTCTTTTATCAAAAAGTTATTCTCATTCAACATCTGTCTAAGTGCTTACATTCACTCGCTCATTCATCCATCTATTCATTCATTCATGAGTTGGTGGTGCTTTGATAAAATAGCGCACTTTTTTTCTACTAATATAAATATTTGAGTTTGTGCTTTTTGAGGAACGGAACAGATATAAAAGGAGGAATGAAAATACAATCTTTTTATGTATGTTGCCATACATCATCAGCATACAAGTTAATTACGACAGTACAACAGCAGTAACAACAGCGTAAGATAAATATTGAGATAAATTTCTGTGGTGGTTATGAAGATCCGGGAATATTGAACTGTTTGTGAGGATATAAGAAAGAATGTAAGTTTGTAATCAAAAGCAGATCATAGCTTTCAAATGATCTCAAAGAGCTAGCTTTGGGTGCTGTAGGAAGAATAAAGAACATCAAAATTTGATGTTAATGGTACTCGAGATGTCCTCAGAACTACGAACTAAGTCAGGTTTCTTGGTGCGCAACTACAGCTACTTATACAAACGTTTGGGGACAATGTATGCAAGATGTAGGTTGAGCTAGATTTTTATGTATAACCAAAATCTAGTCTCTGTCATTTAAAAGGTCCCACATTGTCTTCAATCTCTGAGTTAATGGATCATCCAAAGAATATCTTTAAGCTAATAACCTCAAACAGCTTTAAAACCCTTAACATTAGAATCCCTACAGTAGAATTATGCTCAAATGTGCGGAAATCTTGATATCATTTCGAAAACTGCTACTTTGACTGTACACACACAGCACCCGCATAATTAACCAACATTTTGGTGCGTTTGCGTTGTCGCAAGTGAAAATATTTAATCAGTCAAGTGTGTATACAGGAGAGACAGGAATTTTATTTTATTACAAATGATTCTTCTTTTACGGGAAGAGAAGTAAATATTTTATAAAGTAGATAGATGAAGGAACTTAAAGCTCATTTAAATTCACAGAACAAGGCAGCATGCTCAATAATAAAAATTGAGATGGAGACTGAAGATTTATGTGAATTTGAACTCGAATTATTTATTTGCACAATTTTTTCGTCTTTCTTTGTTCCTCATTTCTGCAATTTTCCTTCTTTTCCCTCCACCGGCACTAAAAAGAAAAATTTGCATTTAAATTTAATTTTTTTTCTTTCTTTTTCTTTTGTTATTTTTATGAGCAAGAAAAAATTTATTTCAATCTCAATTTCACCTGAAAGAATTATGCAGACACAAGATGTTGTTTGAGTTTTAGACGAGTGAAATAAAAACATGCTCTAGACAAATATTTTGTAATTCAGTAGGGGTCAAAAAAGATTAAAACAAATATAAAAAAAAATAAATTTTTTGCCTCTCCTGTATGTAATTAAAAACATTATACAACATCAACCTCAAACAAATGAATATGGATACAAGACAAGCATATGAATAAAATATACTTTGAGTGAATTGGGATGTTTGAATAAAAATTAGAGAAATTTTTTAATTTGGTGAACATGACGCATTTTATACAAATTAATTTTATGTGGATTTTTGATTTGAATTAATTATTGTTTGAGGTTAGGGATAAATACGTTTGAAGAATCGTGCTGATTGTCTTTGATCAATATTTCCTTAGTTGACTAATCGTATGAATGAATCCATTACAGCAGTTTTTTTTTTTATTTGTCGACGTTACCGTCCGGAAGAAATACTATTTACACATGTTTTACTTTTTACATTGATTAGTGATACATTTCATATCACTATGGGTGACGTAGAATCAAGCTTCTAATCTTCAAATCTAGGTTTCGATTAAATTCAGGCTCTCGTTTCAATCTTCTGTGGGCGTGACGTGATACATTTCAGGTCCGTACTGACAATATTCCATTATAAGGTAATCTTGTAGCTCTCGTTCCTATTTCTCCCGCTACAATTCAAGTTCCTGACCCGTTCCTTAATCAAACGTTGCCCAAAATGCCCAATTATGGCTTGATCTCGGACATTAAGCAGTTCACATAGATTCCAAAACAACTCAATTGTTTTTAACAAATTTTAACCTAATTTAGTGAAATTTGATGAAATTTGATAAACTACACTTAAAAGCTAGATAAAATTTTATTACGACTAGGGTTTGGTACTCGAGATTGACCAAGAAACTCACCCTTGATTTTGTATCAAGAAGTCGATTCAACTCGAGAGTTTGTTGAATTTCAAATCTCATACCAGAGTTGCGATAAAGGTACATGTGCACAGGTGAGAACCGCACAATTCTTTGATAATTTGTGAGGTTTTATTAGAATTTGTACAGTTTTGTTAGAAAAACCTTATAAATTATCAAGGAATTGTACGGTTCTCAACTTTGCACAGGTGCCTGTATCGCAACCCTGTCTCAAACAATAATTCAAGCATTTTAATAGACAATCTGCAACTTTAATCATTTCACTGCCCTCAATAATATCTAGTTCCTAAAGTAAAGCTTCACTTGATTGACCAAACAAAAGATGTAAACATGTGTGAAATTGCTTAACATAGCCTCAAGTGCTGAGCATTCTGTATTTCAATTATATTTACATTTTATGGTTTATTCTCTTTTTTCCTACAAACAGTAAAGTTCATAAAAATCATTTTTTAAAGCGCCATACAGCATAGCAGGGGAAACTCATTCAAGCAAGAAATTTTTTTCTGTCGATTTTTTTTTATTTTAAAAACAAAACGAAGATAAAAATATTTTCCGATAAAAATAAAATTTATCAGCATTGCGAACGATAGTAAATTGCTATCGAGGAATGGGAAATCAGAGCCAAATGTCACCGTTTCCTGCCTGCCTTGCAAATGAGAAAAAATTGCACAATTTTTCGGGTGGAAAAAGAAGAAAATGAATATTTTTTTTCATTGTTTTTCCACTGTCTGGTTGGTTAAATTCTATTTAAAAATGCTGCAAGCGTGTTTACTTTAAATTAAAAAACCCGACAACCTCAGAGCGATGTTTATTTGCTGCTGTCGTTTACTATTTTATTTCACTTTTTCCTTTCTTCTTTGTTTCTTTACTTCTAAACTTACTCATCTGCTGATTTTCACACAAAAATATTCTTCGTATGAAGTAGAAACAACAAGATGCAGCATGTTGAACGATTCATGAACTGAAAATAAAAGAATAAATAATAATGCAATAAATAAGAAAGAAAATTTCTAAAAAATTTCCATTTTTTCTTTCTTTTTCTTTTCAGTGGAAATCACGTTGGTGTGTGATGAGAAAGTTATCACCCGTTGCAGGTAAATTTTATTTCAATTCTACAATGTACTTCTTTTATTTTCATACCATTAACATTACAAATTTACTGCATGCTATTCTTATTTTTACCATTTCTTTAAAATCCTCATTTCAAAAATCTGGGGAAGTAATTTTTAAAGTACAAAATCTGCTTTATTTTTGAGTTTTTTTTTTTCTTCCTGGATGTGGAATTTTTTGAGATTTTTCTTTAAAATAGAAACTACGGATGTGAAGTTTTCACATCAAGATTATTATTTCTGTTTTGTTGGAATTTTGAAGGAGAAGAAAAACTTTTGAATGTGAATTTTCTATAAGAACTTTATCTTGATGTGGATTTGATGGACATTATGTGGGTCGTTCTTTTATGATGTGTACCATTTATAGATCTAAGACTGTTGAAAATATATCAGTCGAAAAGGTAAGGCGCTTGGCTCAAATTTGGGATGGTAACTCGAAGGTCGTCGGTTCGAATCCAGCCATTTTCCAAATTTGTTCTTTTTCGGAAGTTTAGATACTTCGACTGCTTAATGTAGGAGATCAAGCCATAATTGGGCATTTGGGCAACGTTGGATTAAGGAACGGGTCAGGAACTTGAAGTGTAGTGGGAGAAATAGGAACGAGAGCTACAAGATTACCCACGAATGGAATATTGTTAGAACGGACCTGAAATGTATCATGTCACGCCTACAGAAGATCGAAACGAGAGCCTTAGTTTATTTGAAACCTTGATTTGAAGATTAGAAGTTTGATCCTACATAATACTAATTCATATGTATACAAATACAAAAGTGTAAAATGAGAATTTATACCGGATAGTATGTCGTCAATAAATGCAATAAAGTGCAACTAAAATGAAAAAAAAAGGTTTAAGATCTTATAAGATCTTATAAGACTAAGGTTGGAAGATTATGATTTAAGATTTTCATAAAAATAATTGAGTAATTCGCTTATTGACTATGAGAAAATGATAATATAAAGACATCATTTGTGACTAAACTCCATTGGTATCCTTTACCTACGAATTCTGAGTTTTGACATAAACAAACTTACATTTTATCATTCACATCCACTGAATTTGAATCAGAAGAATCAATATTAACATTCCTTAAACCATGGAAGGAGATGCCCCATAGCCCACTATACCCCATATTCATAAACAAGACTTAAGAAAGAATTATAGTTATTAAACGAAACAGTCGAGTGCTCTTGAATTAGTCTTGGGACGAAGAAAACCCCTTGTGATTTAACTTCTATTTCGGCTTTTTCTTCGCTTTGAATTCTAATGATTTCCTTCAATTTATAGCTCCCTTTTCTAATAAATTCTTTTCTTCCTGAATAGTCCTGAATACTAGAAAAATATTAACGGCAAAATAATAATTGAAATCCCTTAGAAATGGCAATAAGGAAAGCAATGCTAAAGATTTAAGATAAATCTTTTAAAATTTAACTAAGACAAGAACTGCGACTCTACACTTTTGAATCAGAACAACACAACACAGCTCCTTGAACTCTCAAACAAAACCCTTTCACAAAATTCAAAAACAAAACAGTAACTGTATAGCAATCAACATCAGAGAGCAATGAATGCTTTCGCATTCAGCAAAAGGAAATTAACTTTGAAATCTGATATATCCTTGCATGCATATCTGACATTTCAAGTATATTTAATTCGAACAAACAGCACTAATTTGAATATTGCATTTCTTATAATCATTAAATCCATTTAAATGCGACATAAAACAAATTTTTATTGCTTTGCAACACATTTTAATTCCATTTCGGCACATAATAAATAACAGTTGTTGTCGCATTTCTCATACATTGTTATGGAATGAAAGGTAATGTAGGCATACATAGTATAAAGTAAGGGGAAATGAATTGGAAAAATAAGGTAAAATATAAATCATAATTAGAAAATTAGACGTGAAGTCTTATGAATGAATGAATTTTGAACCCTAGGCGTAATTTGGAATTCTTGAAGGTAATTTCCATAAATTTTCAGGTTGAGGGGGGATTTTTATTAATTAGTCTTTGACACAGAAATATTTTAATACAATTTTCAGTTCTCCTATCGATGATATTGCCATGGAATTTGAGATATAAAAATAGAATTATGGGGAAATTTGTCTACCTTATCAGAATTGAGGAATTTTATTGATAAAGGTTTTTGAACTTTTACTTTTTGTCTCTAAAATGGGGGTCGATCATAAATGATGATTAACAAGTGGTTCTTTATCTTTTTCGATTCGAGGCACACTTGACATGAAGTTAAAATGTGATGAACTAGATTTTCCTAAACTAAGATCTAGGTTTTGTTTTTAAAGGTACCTGACTACTTAGAATCTTCTTAAAAACCCTTGAAATCATAATCATTTTTAATATTAATCTAGGAAGCATTAGACATGAAGAGAGGGTTCTGTAGCTATATAAAACTTCAATCAAAACAAATTTGTTGCAATAGTAAAGAATAAAGTACCAAATTTTTTGGTAGACATCATTTTTCCACAATTCCTGATTCATAAGGTGATTAATTTAAAGTTCAAACATCCCACGTAACCAAAATCGCCGTCAATGAAAAAATCGACTTAAATGTACAATTTTTTGGATGATCCAATAGACGTCGATTTTTCATCCATTACATTCGTTTTTCTTGAGCCGCTATATACTTCACAAGTGCAATCAGAAATCACTTATATAAGGCACAGCCAAATTTTCATACAAAGTGTGATTAATTAATTAAATTAATTACAAGCGAATCATTCATTTAAATGAAGATTTCGACTCTTTTTTTCAAAGACAAAATCCTTAATTAATTTTTTTGGATTTTGTCTACAAATTATAGTATAATTAACAAAAAATATTTTCATGTAAAAAAAAATTCAAAATTTTTCCGTTAATCGGTTTTTATATTGTAACGGTCAAAAAAAATTGATTTTGGTTCAAAAAAATAATCGACGTGAAATCGACGTAAAATCGACTAAAAATCGTCCCTTTTCATATTAGCATAATGTCCAATGTACGATACATGGAATGTACATATGGAACATACATGGAAGATTTTGATGTAATACATAAAATCTTCCATTCGTCGACTTATGGTTACGTGGGATCCTTTTGGGGAAACTCTTATTTTAATCTTTGATAAAAACTTTATAGACCATTCCTTAACGCCTTATTGACTTCAATTTAATAAATTTTAATACTCACAGTTACCTTAGAAATTTGAGATGTTGATGACTTACTCTATTAATCGACATCTTTGTATTCTGTTCATTAACCTTTAGTTATATAGAGGCAATATATTATTATCTAAGCTTCAAGGGGACAACAGCATGATGGGAAAAAAAGATTTGATTGGAGATTTCACACAGAAGCGTAGCATGTAATTTTGCGCAACTTAAATTGTCACATACCCCCCCCCCCCCCCCCCACATCTTCTTTATTTTTATTATTATTATTTATTTGTCGACGTTACCGTCCGGAAGAATTAGTATTTATACATGTTTTACTTTTTACATTGATTAGTGATACATTTCATATCACTATGGGTGACGTAGAATCAAGCTTCTCATCTTCAAATCTAGGTTTCGATTAAATTCAGGCTCTCGTTTCAATCTTCTGTGGGCGTGACGTGATACATTTCAGGTCCGTTCTGACAATATTCCATTATAAGGTAATTTTGTAGCTCTCGTTCCTATTTCTCCTGCTACACTTCAAGTTCCTGATCCGTCCCTTAATCCAACGTTGCCCAAAATGCCCAATTATGGCTTGATCTCGTACATTAAGCAGTCGAAGTATCTAAACTTCTGAAAAAGAACAAATTTGGAAATGGCTGGATTCGAACCGACGACCTTCGAGTTACCATACCAAATTTGAGCCAAGCGCCTTACCTATTCGACCAGCAAGGCACTTAACTGCTTTAATTTAAAATTAATAGAAGTTTTTTTATCGAAACTATTCCCAATCATGTTGTTTTCCCCTTCCTCATCTCACTTGCTCACCCACTTACACATAAAGTTGATTTTAATTACAGAACAACTCTTTCAAAAAAAAAACTTGCTCTGATGTTCTTTGCCTTTTGATTTCATGGTTGGAACTATCCGGGAAGATGAATTTAAAATGTACAGAAAATTCTTAATTAACGAAAAAGTTTGCAATGAGTTTCTTTAGTTTTCATTTACTTTGACAAGTCTTCCGACATGAATTTTTTTCCCTAATTATGCTGCATTCGGTACACACAGAAAAAGATATTTCAACTGCATTGAAAAAGAAGGAACGGAAAGAAAAATTAATATGAATGCAAATTGTCATTAATCCTCAGGAAAACAAAAGAAGCAGAAGTTTTTCATGAAAAGCAAATTGCATTTTATGAAGACACATAAAAGAGCATTTCGTAGTAAAACTCATAACATCACGCAACCATTATCCTCATCCCATCCCACTTCCATTAATCAACATAAATTACAATAATAATTTTATGCCGAGCTCCTAAAAGAAGAATATACCGACTGTAAAATAAGAATTCTTTTTGTTACGCGGGACCATGAAAATTTATGAAAAATATGGATATTTTATTCTATGCAATGGAAAAGCAGTTTTACAGTTTCATTAGCAGTTAAAAAATTACATTCCATAATCATAAAAAAAGAACATCGGTCTATGGCCGTAGAATGCAATGACAAAAATGAATAGAGAGATTTGAATGCGAGGATGAGGAACTTTGTTGACTAAAATGTTATTTTTTGGATGTGACGAAATTATTGCTCGAGAATGGAGACTATGGAATAATATTTGAAGCTAGATTGAATTTGTTCGGTAAATTAAAGTGTTTTGCTGATTTAAAATTGGCTAGTCTGACTTTGAACAACCAATGATTATGATAGAGTCCATGACATCTTATATGAACTGTAGTACTAGATATCAGCATTTTAACGGTTACTTGAATTCAAATTTTTTGCAAAGTTCAAATTAAAATTTCATAAAGTTCAAAAATTCAAATTTTAAAAAATCGTTACATTTCAAAATAAAAAAATACGTTATCCAGTTTGCAGCAACAGCATCTATTATAAGCCTTAATATCAAGTTGTTCTATTCGAAATTTAATTGAGATGTTATTTGTTATTAAGCAACTCAAAAAATTAGGAATTGATCCTCAATCGAGTTGCTTAAATACCCTGCCACTAAACAATGAGTCTCGTACTCTTTACAGTTGTAAACTGTAAGCAGCATAAAAAGTACAAAACATTCCAATTAAGAGAAGCTTCAAAATTCTCACTTTCATCACAGCCTCTATCCCTTTTAGACCCAACATGATGAATAATTTTATTTTATTTTATTTACGTAACAAAAAACCACTTACATCCCAAAGATATTTTTTGTGCACAGTAGAAAAAAAAATATGAGACATATTGAAGTGGCAGGAGACGGGACTGTAAGAATCCTATCATAGAAACGTGTTAGAATAAAAAAATAGAGACGGAAAATTACAATTGCCAGATGTGTAAAGATTTTTTTTAGTCTCGACAATCAAGTCGTCTTACTCAAGTTCTCGTGTTTTTTGAGATTGCCCTAGAAACTCATAAATTATCTTCACTCATTGCCTCATATTAAAATATTTTTATTTTCCTTAATGCTGTTTCGGACCAATGCTGATGATTGAAGAGGATTTCTTCTTTCATTTCATTCCCATGATAATCAATTCCATTTCGTACCCACACCACATTTGAGGAAGTTTTCAAACTGATAATAATAATGTTACAGCGTCACGCAATTGATCATAGAATCATATTTCATGTTTAAAATTAAGACAATTTCATTTATTATGTGATAAATGATTTTATGATAAAATTGAACAGACTTCTGCTTGGCATTTTGTCGTTTTAATTTTATTGGATATTATTGTGTCTTGATAATTGCTTTTATTGATGTCTGTTTTGTGGTTATGTCTTGTGGTTGTGAGTTCTTCGAATTAAGATTTTTATATCCATTAACGACTTTTTGAAATTCAAATTTTAATGAATTTTCTTTTTATATTTTGTCAAAAGTTCCAAAATCTTTCCTAAAGTATTACCCTGTTTTTTCGTTATAAGCTAGTAGCTTAGAAGAATAAAAAAGTGATTTTTTATATTCACACCGTTTTCACGTGTGAATCTATTGGTTATTTTGTTCAGATTGAAAAATCAGTTTTAAGAATTTTGTGAGGATATGGAGCAAGATAGCTTAAAATGTTCAGAGATGAACAAGCAAGCAAGTTAATCAGCAAGAAATCTCAATAACGAGACATTGTAGAAACTTCTAGATTTTTACATTTGATCCGTGCTGCTCTATAGAAGAGCTGTATTGTTTTTGGGCAAGGTAGGAACAGCCGTTGCTTCAGAAAAAGCAAAAAACTTTCCTTTCTTACGAATTTTTTAAAACAAAAGTTGACTGTGATTTTTATAAAATTCAACTTTGGATAAAAAAATTTTTTAAAAAACTTTTAAAGAATATTTGGCATATTCGTCAAGCTTTATACCTTCAAAATTATGCTGAGCATAGCTCAGCTGACTCGATAGCTTTACATATATCTTCAAACTTATGCTGAGCGTAGCTCAGCTTACGCGATTGCTTTATAACTTCAAACTTATGCTGAGCGAAGCTCAGCTGCCTCTCTAGCTTCATATCTTCAAACTTATGCTGAGCAAAGCTCAGCTGACACTCTAGCTTTATATCTTCAAACTTATGCTGAGCGTAGCTCAACTGACACTCTAGCTTTATATCTTCAAACTTATGCTGAGCGAAGCTCAGCTGCCTCTCTAGCTTCATATCTTCAAACTTATGCTGAGCGAAGCTCAGCTGCCTCTCTAGCTTCATATCTTCAAACTTATGCTGAGCGAAGCTCAGCTGACACTTTAGCTTTATATCTTCAAACTTATGCTGAGCGTAGCTCAACTGACACTCTAGCTTTATATCTTCAAACTTATGCTGAGCATAGCTCAGCTTACGCGATAGCTTTATAACTTCAAACTTATGCTGAGCAAAGCTCAGCTGCCTCTCTAGCTTCATATCTTCAAACTTATGCTGAGCGTAGCTCAGCTTACGCGATAGCTTTATAACTTCAAACTTATGCTGAGCGAAGCTTAGTTGACTTATCAAGCTTCATACCTTCATACTTATGATGGGCAAATCTTGGTCTATCCATAAGACTTATGATAGTACGGTGTGAATATAATCCGCATTGGGTTTCTACCCGATACACTAGTTTGATCACTAGTAGCTTAGTAACGAGTAGTAGCTTATAACGAAAAAACAGGGTAATCGGTTTGCAGACATAGCACACATGTTTACACATTCCCTGTTTACTAAACAACACTATCCTTATCTCAATAACTCATAAGTAATGCTATCAAACTCGATTTCAATAAACTTTCATATCCCAAGTCAAAAACAGCAATGCCATGAATTTCTTGATCTCTCTCTGTTTGCATTTTAATTTTTTTATCAATAATCTTATGGTAATAAAAGTCAGCAAATATCAACATCATTTAATGAGTGACATATAATCTAGATAAAGTTCATGCCCTTCCTTAATTAGAACACAATCATCTTCCTTTCATCTTGGGCAATATAAACAACAGAAAGCAGTCAACAACATGCATAATACACAATGAATAATCCATGAAATCTAATATCTCTTAACATATGTTTTTATCATGCTCTGAACCTGATTCTTATTATTGTTGTTTCTCTTCAGATTGTCTACATTTGCAATTCTATAAAGATTCAAAGGAGCGATATAAGAATGGCCCAACAAAGGCTTCATTATCTCTTGAACATTTCCTTGGAATTGAATCGGGATTTACATTGGATAAGGAGAGCAATACAATAGCAATTCTATGTCAAGATGTGATTGTTATTTTGGCATTTGATACGAGAGAGATTTTGATGCAATGGCAAGTGAAGATTTCATGTAATTTAGGAGACGATATTCAATATCTTGTGCTTGTGGCATCGGCAGCAACAAAAATTAAAATTCCACCGGGACCAGCACGACTTCATATTCAAAATCATCGATTTTGTATTACAACAGGCATTCCCCCAAGACTCTCGGGTTTATGGAGTCTAGCACACTTGAGGTAAGTGTTAGAATCGACATAAATTATCATTGAAGAAGGCTCTTATTGTTATCTTCACTATCTCTTTATAAAATTTAATAATTTAGACGTTATGGCGTTGTTGATAATCGATTTTGCTTTGAGGGTGGCTCATCGAGTGGCAAGTGTGAAGGATTTGTGGTTTTAATTACCGACTATGGAGATGAAATTTCTAATTGCTTTAAATTAGCGTCACAGGGAAAATTAAATAGTAATAATCGCTACACGAAACCCATTGACAGTCCGAGAAAGATGAAGGATAATCAAAGCATGAAGTGTGATTGTTCGTCGTCATTTTGGCCATCACAGGAATCGCGTGGATTGGAAAGCTATATTGGATGTGATTCTTCGTCAATCCTTGATGATATTGATTCCAATGATGAAGTCAGTCACTTTTCTAGGTAAGAAATCATCTTTTTGAATGAGTTAAGAATTAACTGTTATTTGAAATTCAAATTTTTCTGCTTCATTGATGCAAAAACTTTCGCATCACTAACCTTTGTCTGAGCATTTTATTAATCATGTTTAACTTTAATTTCATCCTTTTAACATCAAAGGAAACGGCTTATGGCGATGGAGAGATGCATGAGTTGCAGTTCAAAACGTAGTTTAGTACCGACAATGTCAAGAAGTTCCACAATAACGGAATCAAATCAGGAAATTTGTTTTGGTTCCTCTTCATACAGAAGTACAACCTCGATTGACACACATCATCAGAGGATTTGTGGTAGTAAGCCAGCACTTGATCGAATATCGATGAAATCTCAGGAGAGTTGTGGTAATTTCTCAGAATACTCAATACCAAGACAGTTTCCATTTCATCCTGGTCATTCACATGAAGCATCATCAGTTAGATCATTTTCTGTGCCACGTCATGAGCCAACAAAAAGTTTTGTTGGCTCTTATGATAACTATGACTCACCAAAAATTCTATCTCCATCAAATGAGAATCAGATGGAGAATTACGATAAGCCAAAGAGTGTAAAAATGTACCTTGAACAAAATGCAGGCGGTAGACATACAATATTTAATGGCGATCATGGTAATTACGATATGCCAAACATACACTGCTGTGCAAACGGACAAAATCGATTAATGAATGATGATATGAAGACAGATTGTACGTGTCATCGTGTCATGTCATGGGCAGATAATTGGATGCCATGTCGACGAGGAACGGGAATTGAAAATACAGGAATACCTGTATCGAGACTCGTTCCAAACACACCAACTCCCACATCCCAAAAAGTTATTGCTCAAGAACCTGCCAAATGTAAATTAAATGACTTTTCGAATACAGATAAGAACGGGCTATATGCACTCGTTGATCCAGCAAAGAAGCAACCAAAAAGACTGAATGAAGAACAATCTATAACATCGTCCTTTCCACGAGCACAATCTCAAACGCCGAATGCCAATTATGCTAATTTAGAGTTTGCTAACTCATTAGAAATTTATGAGAACTCACGAGAGGTACTGAAGCGTGAAAAAGCACTCACTTCCAATGAAAATAATAATAAAATATGTAGTAACGGCAATGCAAAAGAGAATTTATTAAATCATAATAAAGAGAATGAGAATTATTTAGTAATGGATGTAAATGAAAGATCAAAAACTTTCCCCGGATACATTTCAATGCATCCGAAAAATTCTATAAAGCCAATGACACCTGTAGTTGTGGAAGAACAGATAGAAGAAGTAGTAGTATTGCCACCAAGACCAAATAATAAACTTATTTCAAGTAAAATTTTGTTGAATTTAGATGAAAAGTCGCATAGTAATCCTGATCTCAACCGTCCGTCATTAAATTTAGATGAGAAGCATGAAGCGAGCTCAACAACAAAACTAGTATTTAAGAAATCATCATCTGTAGATTCATTTAGATTTATAGATAATGAATCGCCAACAATTGTCGAAGACGAAACGTCTACGTCAACATCTACATATCAGGACACGACAAAAGCTGATTCAATTATTAAAAAGACAAAGCCAAATGAACATATTAAGGTTGTGAATGTAAGGTATGCAGATAATGGCTCAAAACAACCGAATCGCGATTCATCAAGCTCAAATGATTCTGGTGTCTCAACCGCATCAACAATCATACCTAAACATTATAATGAATTCGAGTTACCACTAATAAATCAAATCAAAAAACGTAGGCAATTAAATCAAACGAAATCGTGTGTGCATGCATCGCTTATTCGACGCTCTAAATCATTCGATCCATTTGGTGATTTAAGTTTTCAATTTGCGACACGTAAAGGTTTCGGCAATGGACATTCAAATGTACAGAACAAAGCTGGAAAATGTCCAAGTTTAGGTGCAATAATGACGAGTCATATTGATTCAAATAGTACCAGTAGTGGAACATCTGATATGTCTGATTATATTGAAACACTTTCATTATCAAGCAGCTCTTCTGATGCTGAAGCATTAAAGTAATTAAATACTTATTGAATTATCGACAATAACTTCTATAATATTTGTTTATATTTTATAGAAACAAAAATAATGGAACTCATATGATCAACACAATGCGTCCACGTTCCGGAAAGGAATACGAGAAGATTGATAGATCTACAATAAGTGGACTGGTGCAGGCATCAAGTCACATAAATTCAATTTCACCCATTTCATCGTCAACAACATCCTCATCAAATCCAAACTATGTTAATATCACACCTGTTCCCGAGAATTCCGAATCACCAAGTCCCGGCTACCAAAGCTCATCATCGTTTCAAGAGGAATATGCTGTGATAAAAGTAAGTTAAGCAATTAGAATGATTCTTCGCGATATTGTCGTAAGTCCATTCGCAACTTTGAAAATCCGTAGTAAATCAATACTGCTTAATAAGTACTATAATATATATATCGTTGGAAAGGTCTTTCAATATACTATTTAACGTCGCCATTTTTGGAATTTTTGAAACGGTTTTATCGGTTCTATATTCGGTTCAAAGTCACTCAAAAACGAATGAACTTTTGAACGAAATTAGCTTTATTAAAAATTCTTTTTGATTTCAATAGCCTACATAAAAGCTCATAGCTTTTTGATAGTTTCAATTTTTTTCCATGTAGGTTACATCATTTTAAACGCCCCCAAAGTTGAAACTTTAAACAATCATAACTCTTAATCTGTAAAAGATTAAAATATGAAACCTTTACCAAAATATTTCTAATTTTATCTAGGGGGCCATTCACTTATTACGTAACGCTTTTAGGGGGAGGGGGGGGGTCTAAGATTTTGTTACGGTCAAAGAAGTCATTTTTTCGCGTTACGTAATAAGTGAACAGCCCCTAGATTAATCTGCATAATCAAAAAATGGGGTCCATTTATAAATTACGTCACATTTTCGTAAAAACATAATTCTTTAAAACTAATTTATTTTTTTTATGTTAATAAATTCAAAATCAATAAAAATTATTTGAATATTTAAAATCTAAGTGAAAATACCTTTAAAATGATGTATAACATGAGTAGGGTTTGTTCATAAATAAGGTCACTTTTTTTTAAATTTTTCATACTTTTTCAACAGATTTTATTTTAAAAAGCTTCCTCACTGCACTTTTTGACTTGTTATTCACTTTGTTTCTTCGTTTGCCAGACATTTTTTATAAATTTATTGAAAAAAAAATTCTTATTTTCTCACCTTTTCTCAAAAACTTGCTTCTCATTTTTTTTTAAAAATAAAGTTCGTTAAAATTTAAAAAAAACGTTATAAAAAAACCACAAAATATACTGTTTCTGTTTAAAAAGAACATTTTTAAAATAAAATCTGTTGAAAAAGTATGAAAAATTTAAAAAAAAGTGACCTTATTTATGAACAAACCCTACTCATGTTATACATCATTTTAAAGGTATTTTCACTTAGATTTTAAATATTCAAATAATTTTTATTGATTTTGAATTTATTAACATAAAAAAAAATAAATTAGTTTTAAAGAATTATGTTTTTACGAAAATGTGACGTAATTTATAAATGGACCCCATTTTTTGATTATGCAGATTAATCTAGATAAAATTAGAAATATTTTGGTAAAGGTTTCATATTTTAATCTTTTACAGATTAAGAGTTATGATTGTTTAAAGTTTCAACTTTGGGGGCGTTTAAAATGATGTAACCTACATGGAAAAAAATTGAAACTATCAAAAAGCTATGAGCTTTTATGTAGGCTATTGAAATCAAAAAGAATTTTTAATAAAGCTAATTTCGTTCAAAAGTTCATTCATTTTTGAGTGACTTTGAACCGAATATAGAACCGATAAAACCGTTTCAAAAATTCCAAAAATGGCGACGTTAAATAGTATATTGAAAGACCTTTCCAACGATATATATATTATAGTACTTATTAAGCAGTATTGATTTACTACGGATTTTCAAAGTTGCGAATGGACTTACGACAATATCGCGAAGAATCAATACTGGGGGTCCTCGATTTGAGTAGTTGTTTTGTTCTAAAAAATTTCTACTCAAATCGAATCTATTCAAATCGAGGCAAAGAATTCATACAAAATCACATGTTCTGTTCCAGAGTCCAAAAAATGTATCAAAACAATGAAAATTTTGATAATTTTTTGCACATTTTACCTAGTTTCTTAACTTTACCTATGTGTTTTAGATTACTTAATTTATTTCAACGCATATTCATATTGTTTTTAACAGAGATCGAAGTCGATTTTTTCGGCTTAACTCAATTTTTGATTTTTTTGATAGAAAAAAGCCATTTGACACCCATTTCAAGTATTTAAATTGAACTTTACATGCTTTACTATGATTCTGTGTAATATTTTGTCAGCATGTAGCTATAGTGAGCTCAGAATTTCAATTTAGCCGATTTTAAGCCGATCGGCTTCGATCTCTGGTTTTTAAACAGAAATTCATATACCTTATGCGCCTATACGAAAGCTCCATAAAACATCCTAACCGAAATGTTCATCAAGTACGCGAATTTTATTCAGATTTCGTTTGCTTTAAGTTTTTATAGATTTTTCGAGCGATTGGCCTCAAGTTCAAACTTAACTTACTTTTTAATTAAGTGTATATTTTAAATAATTTAATGTAACTAAACATATGATCAGTAATACCTTCGGTAACAATAAACATCAATATCAAATTCACAAAAAATATGTTTTTGAAACAAAACAAGAATATGAGAACCTTGCAAATGTTATTTAACCGAACAATTTGTAAGGTTTTTGAATTGGAACTTTTTAAAACCGTTAATTTTATATCGATTTTTTAAATTTTTACTTTAGATTTGGGCAAATCCACGAAACAAAAATTTTTTTTTTCCAAAATTTTTCAATTTAAAGTAATTATTTCTCTCTTATGTCACATTATTAAAAAAAGATTGAATGTTTTAATAAATGCAATGATGTGAGTAGAAGATCTTTAAAAAAATTTGCTTCTCTATAATCGTTAATTAAAGAGAAATTTGACTTTTTGTAAATCTTCCTGAGTCACATTTTAGCGGAAAACATCTAAAAATTCAATTATCTCAAAAAATATAAGTTTTTAAGCGACATTGATCAACAAGATCTGTTCCTTTCATGTTGGAGCATCATATAATTAAGCAAAATGTAGATGCTCAGTGGAAATTTGCTGAGAAATTAATTAATTTCTTGAAAAATTTTTTCCTGAGTCACACAAAACGCTTTGCCACCAAAATATACTAGTTCAAATTTTTTATAATCGTAAAATATTTGAATTAAAACTTTCCGTTAAATTTTTGTGACATTTACGAGCTCAAATCTTATTCAATTTTCGATAATTAATTAAGTTTTAATTAAATGGATGTTTCCGATGCCTTTTAATGGCTTTTAAATAATATTAACTGTGCTTTAAATTAATTTTTCAGTTTATTTTCAATAAAAAGGTAAACAAATAATAACGGTTTTCTATTTTTCAAAAAAAATTTAACCAAGTAGAGGAATAATTACAATGCGATTTTTTGTGATTCCACAGCTTCGTGGATTTGCCCATTTGTAACTTTAGTATTGATTTTTCGATCAATATGATAAGTTCACGCTTATTGCAGAAAAATTTATTAAAAATATTTTTTGAAATGTTTTTATCAAAAATATTTGTTTTGTAAACAATTCAAATCGAAGAAAACAGGAAGAAATCTACTCAAATCGAATATTTTGGTGGGTAAAAAATTTTCTGTTCAAATCGAATCTACTCAAATAGAATCTACTCAAATCGAGGACCCCCAGTATTATTAATTGATGGATGTTGCGCTGAGACTCACTTTGTGGCGTAGGCACGAAAAAGTAATTAAAACCATTTTTCATCTCATTTCAGGAACCGGATGTTGTGGTAGAATAGAAGGTTAACAATTAAGTAGCAAGAAGGAGTTTAGAAGAAGCTCATCATTTTTTTTATATTTATAATCAAACGTCTTCGAAGTTTTAACAGTTTAAAGTATTATCTCAACGAAATGTCATGTAAATAAAGTCTATCCTCAAGTCCAGTCCAAGAATGATATTCTTATGTGTTTAAGGATATAAGTTATAGTTTATGCTTCTTAGCCAGCAACACAAGAATTTTAATTTTCACTTAACAAAAAAAGACAGTAAATCAAAATCAGCAAGCAATAGAAAATTGATTAATTTTGCTTCCATAAATGATGTACAAAACGGAACTACTGCTATTAATGACTTACTTGTTAGCTAGCAACGAAATATTTTTGATTTGCAATTCTTCCAATTGTGATTTCTAAAATTCTTTTTAAAAAAAATATCAAAAAACAAAGTTATTAATTTTAAGCATCTATTAAAAAATTCATATGCTTAGTATTAAGGTTATTAAATTAAATTACAATAGTTATCGATGATAAATAATTGAATAGTCATTAGATTGTAAGAAGGAACAAACAAAAATTGGAATATTTGATACGTGCAAGAAGATAATTTTTAAGAAGAATAGGAAATGAAAAGGAAATCAATTCAGAATTAATAAATAAAAAATATTTAACATTTACATCCATTTTAACTTTTTAACCCATTCTAATATTAATACAGTTTTATATAACGCATTAATATACCTTTTAAACTGGAAGATCGACATGTTGGAGTTTGAATTCTAGTTTAAAGTTGAAGAATATTCTTCAAAGTTCAGCTTCCCTCTTATCCCACTCTTTCACAAACCCTTTCCCCCTTAAAATGTAAGTATTAGTCTCTGGTAAGACCTCATCTCACGTTCTGAAGCAAGACAGAAACTGATCAACTTTGAAATCTAATTTAATTTTAATTCATCGGTCCCAAAGACCTTTCATTTGTCTTAGAAGTAAATATAAATAGTTTTATTTTTGAATCTATTCCAATTCTACATCAAAATTTATAAACAAAGAATAAACAGATCAAAACAATAATTAAAACTCAATACAAAACATGACCATTAGTCATCAAAAGCCTTATTCACATCTCTATATACAACGAGCAAAAACAATGAGTCACAAAAGTCGTGTATTCTCGATTCTTTGAATTTTTTGCAATGTCAATGTCATGCTTTTCCAGAATATTAATACATGACAATTTAAATTTCGTGATGTGCGTGGCATATACGTCAGCAACTAGAGCTTGTTCACAAATATGAAAAGTTTCAATTTTTAACGGAAGTTTCAAATTTTTTTTTTCGTTTTAATTGCACTTTATTGCATTTATTGACGACATACTGTCCGGTAATAATTCACATTTTAAACTTTTGTATTTGTATACATATGAATTAATATTATGTAGGATCAAACTTCTAATCTTCAAATCTAGGTTTCAAATAAACTAAGGCTCTCGTTTTGATCTTCTGTAGGCGTGACGTGATACTTTTCAGTTCGGTTCTAATAATATTCCATTCGTGGGTAATCTTGTAGCTCTTGTTCCTATTTCTCCCGCTACACTTCAAGTTCCTGACCCGTTCCTTAATCCAACGTTGCCCAAATGCCCAATTATGGTTTGATCTTCTACATTAAGGAGTCGAAGTATGTAAACTTCCGAAAAAGAACAAATTTGAAAATGGCTGGATTCGAACCGACGACCTTCGAGTTACCATCCCAAATTTGAGCCAAGCGCCTTACCTATTCGACCAGCAAGGCACTTAACTGCTTAAATATCTTTAATGAAAATTTGAACCTTAACAATACGTTAAACTTCAAACAAAATAATTGCTGACCATATTCCCTGCAATATCCATTAATGCTTAAAACAAAAATTTATGCTTCAACATCTTTACCTTCCGAAATCTTTTAATGAATAACCAGTGAACATAATTGAATTACATAATGCGCTAAAAACTCTCACAGGATTTTATTTTTCCATAAAGTAAGCAGCATAAAAAGCATACATGAAAACTACTTACCGAAAAAAAACCAAGCAATAAAATATATTTATATTCTGAAAAATATTTCTTGATATCCTGTTTTGTAGTAAACTTTTTTAACAAAAATGAGGAAGTATTCGTAAATAAAAATTGTAGACACAGAAAACATTATTGATAACTAAAATAAATTGCATTATTCCTTGCCATTATCCCTTACATGTGCACCTTTGCATACAAATTGTTTTTCAGCTTGCTTGTTATTGTATGTATGAGTCTGCATACCTGAAAAGATTTGAAGGGAGAAAGATGAAGGCTGCAAAAAAGGTAAGTGAATGAATTTTGGAATGTTTAATGGACTATTGGCGCTTAAAATGGATTTAAAGGCAGATTGTAGTGATGCTTATTGGATCTTTGTTTCGATCTGATGTAATATAGGCTGAAACTAAGCTGGATCATCACTTTGTTGCATCCAGTGTTGCATTCTGGCTATTTGTCTGGATCAGATAAATTCTGAGACAGAAATTTCTTCATAAAATCGATTCTACATGTAGAAAGAAAAAAACCATCTACATGTAGATTGTGTCTACATGTAGAATCTGTCTACATGTAGATTTAATGTAGATGTCTACGATTCTACATTCTTTTCTGATGTAGATCTGGAAAAAAATGTAGAATTATAGACATCTACATCGAATCTACATGTAGACAGATTCTACATGTAGACACAATCTACATGTAGATGGTTTTTTTCTTTCTACATGTAGAATCGATCTTTATGAAGAAAGTTTCTTAGCTAGACAAAAACTATTGAAGAATCTACATTCTTCATCTAGTGTAGACATCTACATTTGCAACACTGGTTGCATCTAAACCTGAAACTGATTTTCCTTGGTAGAAGTGCCACATTTATGTTCCTTAGTCTTGAGCAATCATGTTTCATTGATACTCTTAAGTATAGATGTTCCTTCTATCATCTTAAGCATCCATGTTAGGTTTGCAGGTTTTGTTATTATAGCTGAGGATACTATGGTCCATATTCTATGTGGCGGTATGTCATTATTTGCTTTCTACAGTAAACACTTCCTTAAAGACGTTGTCAGCATTGTGAGTGTAAGGAAGTAACTCTACACGAACTTAGTGTTATTTTTTTTATTTATTTATTTCCCTCCTTCCTCACTCCTTTCGGAAAGGAAAAAGCCTCCTCAAACAGTACTTAAACTGTTTGAAGAGGCATAAAAAACCTTTCAGGAGACAGAGAAAAGTACTTATGACATAAATCATATAAACAGATAATTAAGATAAACATTAAAATTTAAGCAAAAAGAGATCAATGAAACGTAAGCTTCCGGAAAAAAAAAATCCAGTTGCAAGATTCTGGCCAAAAAATGATCAACTTCATTCTTACTTATTAGGAACTGCAACTGAAAACTGATAATTTGAAAAATAATTTGAGAAATTGAATACAAAAATTTTATATGGCGGGATTTTAAAATCCCAATAAAATCTTCCATACAATAGATTTAAAACAAAATCCCCAAAAAATCCCCATACAAAAATGATTTAAATCAAAATCTCTTTTAAAAATCATTGCAAAAAGATTTTGATTTTGATTTTTGATTTAAATCACTCACCCTGTTCACAGGTGTAAAAATTATACTTTTTACAACTTTTTAATGAGTTGAAATGTATAAAAATCATTCGAATTGATTCAAAGTAAATTATTGCATTTTAAATATAATTGTTTTCAAAGAAATTTCTGACTTTCTTCATTTTTCGTATTTTATTTTATTTTTTAAAAATAAATGGACATTATTTTTTGTTTAGTAAGGATTGTACAATCCTTACAATCCTTATATAGAAAGATTGTAGGAATTGTACAATCCTTATAATCCTTATATGAAAAGGATTGTAGGGATTGTAAGGATTGTACAATCCTCACAATTCGTATGGAAGAATTGTAAGGATTGTACAATCATTACAATTCTGTTGGCGTGTCTGACTCTTGCTTTTGATTTCCAAAATGTCGCTGATGTCATTTATTGCTATTTTTGTTGCATAATCTTTTTTGACATAAACTTTGTCACCACTCAGGAAGACACTAAAGTTTTTATCCTTTGCAACTTCTCTCGCTTTAAACATCAAACAGCGGTTCAACGAAGTAAGACTATTATCAAAATAAATTTTCCTGTTTTTCGCAATTTTGCTTGCTTTAAGAAGCTTCATTTTTGTATCAAAGCTTTTGAATTCGATCACTGGCAGGTGCAGCTGAACCCTTTCTAGGGCGTTGGAATGTGTATTATTTCTTTATCGGTTAGTGCAACACCGAAAGAATTAACTAGCTCCTTGACTTTTACTGTGAGTTTCTCGCCTTTGAGAGTGCTGTCGATGCTCGAGCCTGATATTTCCACTTTACTTTGAAGTCTGTTTTGAAATAGCATGTTTATTGCTGCTTTGTTTTGGTAAGCCAACTTAAGTGCTTCATCTGCTTTTGTACTAGCTTTCTGTAATTTTGTTTCCAAATCTTCGATTCGTTTCTGCATATCGGACATTAGTAAGCTTATTCCTGTTATTTTGGAGCCTAGTTCATTATTCAGACAATCAATCCCTTGTTTATTGCTAAAATCGCAGTGCCTTTTTGCATGTTCCTTAGACTTAAGCATTAGATTTCACTAGTTCCACAGTCTTAAGCATCCATTAGCATTCACTGGATCACTAAAAAGCAATTTTAAGTCTCTGAAACATAATAAGATTAATTCCAGCATTAAACATTTCTTTTTTCCAGCTCTCTTGTTCTTTATTCAAAAAAATCATCGGTTCACAAGTGTTACAAAGTTTCTCCTTACTTAATTACATTTTATTCACCTTTCCCTGAATTTTTCTAAAAAAATTTCAAAGTTTCGCGCGTGTTCTATATGTTTAGAGCTTGTTTCGTTCTTTATCAAAAAAGGTTTGTTGGTTTTTTTTGCCTCAAAAGTATTTTTTTCTTCTTTTACGCTTTTTTTTTCTATGTTTTTTAAAGATTTTTTTATTCTCAATATAATCATTTATCCTTTAAAAATGTATGTAGTTATTAGAAATTTTTTATAATTGGATATAAAAGATTTTTTTTCATCATCATAGTTCATAATATAATTTTTTTTATATAATCGGTTTCTGTATTATAATAGTAGTAATAATCATAATATTGGATGTAATCAGGCTAGTAATTGAATGACAAACGAATAAAAGAAATTAATTAGAAAATTGTATAAAATTCCCGCGATTATTTTATATATTTCATATCTTATACAAATATCGATAACATAAAAAAAAATCCTGTTTTCCATCTAAATCGTTTTGATACCGTTTTTTTAAAAAAAACAAAATTTTTAAAATTGGTTAATAATTGATATAAAAATGAAAGTTGTGGTTTACGATCAAAAGTTTTTTAAGAGAAAAAAAAATTTTTGATTTGAATTTTAAGGAAAATGTCTAACGAACAATAAAAAAAAGTCTTTTCAAAAAGAAACAATAAACACGGAATATGTTTCTACCGTGCCTTTTTTTTTTCAAAAATATAAGTTAAAGAAAAAGATATTGTTTCACAAATTCTTTTGGAACAGTTTCCTATTTTTTGAGATTTTTTTCCTCAATTTGATTTTTCGATTTTTTTGTTGATTTTTTAATATTTGAAAGTTTTTTTTATCTTTTTTTCTCATTTACTACAAAGGTTTTCTTGTGTTGTATATTTTTTTTTAGTCGCGTATGTTCCGTTTCAAATTTTCTCTTCATTTTTCATTTTTTATTTTTTTATATTTTGTATTTTTAAATTTTTTTATATTTTTTTTTTGCATTGGATTTTTTATAAATTTTACTCTTTTTTTGGATTTTTTAATATTTTTTATATACTTGCTTGTTTTTATTATGCATTTTTATTTTCTTCATTCTTCATGTTTTAACTTCTTTCTCGTAGATTTCTTCTTTTATATGTTTTTCATTTGAAATTGCTTTTCATCGTGCAAGAGATGAAGACGAGGTCATCGATGGACAGTTTGTTTATTCAATCTTGGGATTTTGTTTGTTTTGATGGACATGCAAAACAGCAACAGCTTCTTCGACCTTGGATTTCAATGACTCATTATGTTCAAGCATGTGCAGCAATTCAGAGTTGTCAATTTCCAACAACATTCCTGTGATTTTACCGGCTAAAGCTGGATACATGTGTTCGATTAATGGGAACAAACGTTCGCCAAGCATTTGCTTTTGTTCAGCTGGTTGTGCAGCAGCCAACATACTTGCAGTCAATGGTTCTTGTCCCTTAACGACAACAGCTTGTTGTGCTGTTGGTTGAACAGGCATTGGGACAGTTTGTGGAGCATTGCGCATGTTTGGTGTATATTTGTAGCTTGTTGGAGCACCACGTTGAGCAACTGGTGCATTCATTGCACGTCCTTGTTGGATTTGAGCTGCTGCTTGTTGTCCAGTAATTGGACGAGCCGAGTTGCGTAATGCAGCATTTTGTGCCGATTGATTTTGGGCATTTCCTTGAACTGGTTGACGAGCAACAGCGCCAGCACCACCTGGACGATATGGAGTAGCATTAACAGCTGCCATGTTTGGATATGCGGCAGCAGCAGTTTGTGGTTGACGAACTTGTGGTTGACTTGCCCATCTTGGGGTAGTACGCAATTGTGTAACTGCTGGTCCATAGAAACGTTGAGGTTGTGGAATTGTTGGAACGAAATATCCTCCGGCACCGCCTGGTTGGAAAATTTGACCCATTTGTTGCATACGCATATTTGTCATACGTTGCATATATTGGGAAGTCAAATGTGCTTTACGTTCTTCCTTCTTTTGAGCCAAAGCAACATACAATGGCTTGGATCCAACAATACGTCCATTCATTTCAGTGACTGCTTTTGTGGCTTCCTCAGCAGCTGAGAAGCAAACGAAACCAAATCCTTTTGATCGTCCATCTTCCATCATTACTTTTGCGCTTGTAATTGTTCCAAATGGAGTAAATTCTTTACGTAAGCGCTCGTCATCAATTGAATCGTCCAAATTCTTAACATACAAGTTGACTCCTTGGTAGCGTGACATGCGTTCAATCTTGATTTGTTCAAACTTGCGTTTCAATTCCATTTGACGTTCGAATTTCTTTTGTGCACGACCAACATACAATGTCTTATCGTCATTCAACTTCTTGCCATCTAAAGCTTTAACGGCATCTTCGGCAGCATCAGCCGATTCAAAGGCAACAAATCCAAATCCACGAGACTTTCCGTCCTTAATCATGACGCGGTGTGAAGTTACTTTACCAAAAGGTTCAAACATCGAGAGTAATGTTTCGTCAGTCAATTCGTCACCAAAGTTCTTAACATACACATTTGTGTACAATTTTGCCTTTTCTCCTAATTCCTTCTCACGTTCCTTGCGTGGAATGAAACGTCCAACGTAAACTTTCTTTTCGTTCAACAACATTCCTGAAAAACATTAACATCAAGATCCCATTAATAAGTAATTAAGAGAAATAACAACAATAGTAAGTCATTACCGTTTACACGATCAATCGAGTTATTTGCTGCTTCTTCTGTGTCAAAATGTACGAATCCATATCCCTTCGATTGTCCAGTTTCATCTGTGGCTACTTTGCAACTCAAAATACTTCCAAAGGCAGAGAATGTGTCATACATAGCCTTGTTATCAATCGTCTTGTCTAAATTCTTGATAAACACATTACCAACACCCGATTTACGGAGTGAGGGATCACGTTGTGACCACATAATGCGAATGGGACGTCCTTTAATTGTATCGAAATTCATTGTATCAAGAACACGTTCAGCTGGAAAGAAAATATTGCGTTTTTAATTTACTACGTGTATGAGGTAAATGCACTCCATGTTTTACACTGCAAGATTGACTAATTGGATCAAAAAATGTTGCTTTTATGGTGTAACAAAGACATTTTTCAGTCAATAATGATAATTTTTGGCCAAATTGATGCACAATAAGAGCGCCTAATCTTGAATTTATGATGGCGATATAAGTAAATTGACAAAATGAAAAACTGAATGCAAGTAACTTTCACTTCAGTTGCAAAAATCATTTATAATACGTAAAAATATTTCATGGAAATAATATAACTATGTAGTCACCAATACATGAACAAGACTTAAAAACAAGCAAGTTGAGAGATTGTGAAATTCCAAAACGATCGATTCAAATAGGCCTTGAGCCACAAAACTTAAACAAAAGGAATTAAGTTACAGTAGAAAAAATTCGTATGGAATGTAAAGTCATCAAATGATGGGAAATTTCTATTTGTAATGATGCATCACTACATATTGTAAGTTTTATGCTTGGTTGTTTGTGCGATAACGAGAATAATGAACATTATTGTATTACACATAAGAAGAGAAGAACAGAGAGAAAGAGAGAGCACATGTTTACTGGATGTTCTTCTTCTTCTACTTATTTGTTGTATGTATGTATAGATTGATAGATAATAAATATAGGAACTAACCGTCTGCTGGTTGCTGGAAGTTGACATATGCATAGCCGAGCGATCGACGGGAAATGACATCACGACAAACACGAATCGAGAGAACTGGTCCTACTGTTGAAAATTTCTCAAAAAGCATCGCCTCAGTCACATCAGCATGCAAGTCTCCTACATATAATGAAGCCATCTTTATGTTGTGCTAAAGGTAGATAAAGAAAATATGACATTAGTAATTTTGTTCTATGATTATTCATGTATGCCAACTCACTTACTTTTCTTGCTGTCCGTCGATTTTCTATCTCTCTTCAAAAAACTCTTCTTTCTTGACACGTTTTCAATGAAAAACAAAAAAACTAAAAATCAGCGTGTATTTTTGGAATTTTCACTTGTTTTATGTATTTTTTTAATAATTTTTTAATGTTTTTTATTTTTTTTTGGATTTTTTTGTATTTTTTTGCATGAAAGAAATTAAAAGTGTGCTTTTTTTGGGGAGAAATTTTCTCTCCTTTCTAATTTCTTTGAAGTTTTTTACGCGACTGAAGTTAATATGGCGATTTCGACACTTTTCGACTCAATCTGTTCGGCACTGCCTGCGATTTAAAGTTTCCACAACCGTTATGCTTTGTTATTTATTTTAATTAATAATTTTAAGCTATTTAACAGCGATTTTCTGAATTTTAAACAAGAGAGCTCTTTTGTGTTGAAGAGATCGATTGATACTGAACTTTCCGTTAAATTTTAAGTTGCCATTTTGGATTTCTAATGTTTCTTGTCAGCTATGAAAACTTTATAATCACAACATATTAAAACTTCTAGCTACCTCTCATTGACTCTAAACTTGTTTAAAGTGAGAAACTGATAATAATATTATGTTAAATGGCATGACAAATGTGTTAAAATTAAGGAATTCAATTTCTGTTCTGCAAAAAAATTACCTTGCAACTGACATTGGATACAATTTTTGAATTCAAATATTAAAATTCCGTTACATTCAATTCTAAATTAAACTACCTGTTAAAGATGCTATTTTCATGAGTTCATCCTCTAAAGTATAATGCTAGGATCATAGATTTAGGTAGAAAAATAAAAATTAAATTCACATTTTGGTTACAATTTCCCCTCAAAAAATCAACAGTTTAAAAACATCAAAATTAGATAAGTTTCCAGCATTTAAGGCACATTTAGGAAAGTCATGCTAGTAGATCAGATATCATATTAAGGCATAACATAAATCAATTCAAATTTTACACATCACCGACAGCATAATTTTCACTCGAGATAATTTCCCCTATTTTAATCCCCTCCACATTATTTTGTTCCCTAACCATATATTCTGAACGAATTTCATTTACAATCAAGTCTTTCTCGTGAACAGACGTATAAATAAATTTTCCTTAAACTCTCCTCAAGTGAAAAAAAGCGGTAAAGTTATTTAATTAATAAATTAGTATTAATATAAAGTTTTAAGGCATCAAATAATTATCTAAAACGATAATACTGAATTAATCTGCGAAAAAAACGTGGTGCGTTATAGAAAATTTCCGAGATAATCGACTTTTTTTGTGTCGCCCATATAAATTTTCTTCAAGCCAAGCCATTTTGTATTGAAAAGAACGCTTTATATGTTTGGCTTCTCTTCTGTTCCATCCATTCGTTCACGTATACAAAATATATTCATTTTGTTGTTTACATTTTTTCTCTTCTCTTATTCAATTCGAATCAGAAATTTATATATTGAGGAAAGGCGCGGGCTATATTCAGTATTATCAAAAATAGTTGAATTAAAATAATTTTTTTGAAAAATTCCCAGACTAATTTTACTATTTTTTTACTATCATTTCTCCCATAAATAGAACAAAAAATAAAAAATGGCAGATAAACCAAAGCGTCCACTTTCAGCATACATGATCTGGCTTAACTCAGCTCGTGAGTCGATTAAGCGAGAGAATCCAGACTTCAAAGTCACAGAAGTCGCAAAGAAGGGAGGTGAATTATGGCGTGGATTGAAGGATAAGAGTGAATGGGAAGCAAAAGCAGCAACTGCCAAACAGAACTACATCAGAGCTCTTCAAGAATATGAACGTAATGGTGGAGGTGGAGATGATAAAAGCAGCAAGAAGCGTAAGGGAGCTGCACCAAAGAAAGGAGGTGGAGGTGGAAAGAAGAGCAAAAAGGGAGCACAATCAGACGATGATGTTGACTCGGAGTAAAGATGCCATTAGACTTTAAATTCTTTTTACTCGCCACCCCATTAAAAAAAATAACTAGCCATGATCACTCTTTCTTTCGATCACATGCTAGCATTTTTTTTTTCACCAAATTATCGCATCCGATTAAACCTCAAACAAATAATCTCTCTCATTAATATGCATTTCTTTTCTTTATTATTTAATAGTTTTAAGATATCTTAAATCGTAAGACAAATAATAATTATTGTTTGATGAAAAGGCATAACAAATTAACGTAAATTAAAGAAAAAATAATTATATTATAAATTAATAATCGTAATTATTAGTTGATAATTACAAAAAGGATTTTTTTTTGTTTTCATATATTAGTAGAAATTTTGTAAGATGTGACGCTTTTCATTGTCGTAGGAAAATTTGAATAATAAAAACTGACAAAATGTACAAATTATAGCATAAAAGAGCCTTATCAATTGATTCCCCATAACAGTCTTAATTTACAGGATTTTACATTGCTATCCGATTAATTGATCCAGAAATGAACATCAACAGCCATCGCATTATGTGACATATTTAAGCATAATTGCATAAGAATAATGCCCCGTACCCGAAAAAGAGATTCCTCAAGTCCTTCACAGCAATTGTCCCAAACCATATGTGAACAATAGATAAAAACCGTTAGGAAAAGAAACGAGAGTGTTACCTAGAGAAATTAGTATGAAATTTTGCTTATAAGCTTCTTTTATTGATTTCTCGACTTCATTTTGTTTTTTTTCCCTCTTGACGTACACAAAAAAATCTCAAATGCGTAGTAAGATACAAATTAGTATGATCTGATGAAGTATTTTGTCGAGCGCCATCAACCAAACACCAGAAAATGATTGCTTCAATATAGCTCCATACGATTTGTTCACAGCCATACAAAATTTTGTTCTTACTCGAAAGCGAAGTCTGTCTAGCAAGCGAGGAAAGAAAAAAAATTTTTTTTTCATATAGAGGCATCCATATTTTTATAAAATCGAAAAATTTCAATTAAAATGGAATGTGTCGCCATTGAAATGTATAGCAAGGTTTAAGCTTGCTATTAATGCTACTACTTTCGCGAAGGAAATTGGGGTTGACATTCGAAATTTTAGAACAAACTTGACGAAAAATCTTTAAGCGCTATAGGAAAATCCATTATGAAGAAATTGTATGAATAAAGTTTATTTTTCAGTACAAAATATTGTATATGGAAGCCAAAGTAGCATTTTTATATTGAGTTCAGTACAGTCCTACAAAAATACTAGACGTCATTGATTGTATTAGTGACAGTGTGTATGATACACTGCTCGTGTCTTTATATGCTCGTATCTGTGACTGTGTGTATACAAGGCAGATAAATTAACGGATTTTTCTCTCCATTTCGACACTTTGGATGCATTATTTGTGAATAAAATTGTCAATTTATGCTAAATGCGGTATACAGATTCAATCTTAAGTATGGCAAAGGCATTTCTGCATCATTAATTCGATCAAGTTTCGATGAAAGTTTATGTAGAATTTTGGAAAATCGATTTGTATGGAAATAAGCATATTCTTTGAGGTACTATATCATGGGCTGTCCATAAATGATGTCACTATACATATTTAATTATTTAATTTAATTAAAAATCATTGGAAATTGTCTAAAAGTTGATTTAAAATTGACTTGAAATAATGCTGATTTATATAATTTGTGACGTCATTTAAGCGGGTATAGTGACAGCATTACAAACTTTGCTGTCAAGTTGGCAAGTCAATGGCTGTACATTCAATTAAGACTAAAAGGCATTTTTCATCCACATTCTACATCTCAAAATGTTTGGAGCACGTGGTTGAAAATTCACTCAAAACGACTTTTTAAAATTTCAAAAATGTCCAAAAAAACTGAATTAACCTTTGTCAATCATGCATGCTACTTGACATTTTTATTTGTCAATTTTCGTCCTTTAATTTACTGGATTTCAGTTACAATGACATTAATAAGACTTAATAATAAATAAACAATACTATAAAATTAATAAACAATTGAAAAATCCAGAAAGTAGCAAAACACATGGAGAGACAGGCAGACAAAAAGCGACAGTCGACAAGTTAAGGTGAAAAAAGTGCACGAATAAAAAAATAAATTTTGAGCGGTTTTTTCTGTGGAGCAAGGAAGTCATTCTTCAAGCAACAGTGCATTTAAGCAGACTACAATTAATAAAAGTAGCTGAAAATATTAAGTAATTAAGGAAGATAATTTGTGCATCAAAAGTTTATCCAAAAGTATAGTATTTCCCGTAAAAATCTAATTTAAAGCAAGTCGGCACACATTTTTCTAGAGGAAAAAAAATTCGTTTTTAAAGGTAAGTTTTACAGAATAAATGTATAGTCAGTTACTAACACATATAAGTAGCTTCTCTATATTCCCAAACCGATTTTTTTTCTTCATTCTTTTATTCAATTTGTGTGAACGACTCGAAAAGAACATTTTGCTTGAAAAGAGCTCTAAAGCAGAAGGAAAAAAAGTTATTGTGTGTGGAACATTAGAGTACTTGAGGCAAATTTTTGTATGTGAAGCATACATATAGTGTATAATGGATTATTGAAAGTATCTAATAGTAATTTTTATCAATTTTTTCTCTCGATTTTGGGCATTTTTTCAGAAAGTTCATTAAGAGAAAAAAACAAGAAAAAATAAAAAATGGCAGAAAAACCAAAGCGTCCCCTTTCCGCATACATGTTATGGCTTAATTCAGCACGAGAGTCAATCAAGAAAGAAAATCCAGAATTTAAAGTAACGGAAGTCGCAAAGAAAGGAGGTGAATTATGGCGCGGAATGAAGGATAAGAGTGAATGGGAGGCTAAAGCAGTCAAAATGAAGGAAGAATATGAGAAGGCAATGAAAGAATTTGAACGTAATGGTGGAGATAAGAGCAGTGGAACTGTTTCAAAGAAGCGTGGTAAGGCAGCAGAAAAGAAAAAGCCCGCCAAAAAGAGCAAGAAGAAGGACTCCGAGGACGATGAGGACGAAGATGAATCAGATTAAACTGGATCTCACCAATTCATTCATTCGCCCCAATAAGAAGCATCTATCACTGCTTTCACCCCCCTCCCCCCCTTTCGTCCTATCCAACCTTCCATTATTATTATTTCTATTACCTCTTGATTAAAAATAATTATTGTTCCCAATTCCTGCATTTTAATATAATTCCTTCCTTAAAAATGTAAATCCCTCTGATACAAAAACATGATGATGATTATAAATATATTTCTTTTAAACATAAAAAAAATACATACATAAACGTAAAAAAATGATACAAAAAAAGCCCAACAAAAAAGAGCAGTTTAAGATTCCTTTTTCCTTATACATATATTTGTAATAATAATAATGACATAATCGAATCGAAGAACCGTTTTTCTTTTCTTTTTTCCTCATAAATTACATACTCTTAAACAAAAAAAACTATAAATGAAAATGAAACTGAGAAAAAAATTAATTAAAGTATAAGTTTGTAGAATAAAAGAAACTTAAATGTTGCTGCAAAACACAAAATGATGATTTTTTAAGTTTTCTGCAATCTTTTTTTTTTTTTGTTTAAAGTTTGTCAAATGTATGATTTAAAAGAGAAGATCCAACTTCCAGATTTTTGAAGAGTTTGGAAATTGTTTTAAGGAAAAAATAAAAATAAAAGTAAAATTATTAATTCTATAGTTGTAAAACGGAAAATTTAACACACAACACATTAATAAAATACAATTAATTTTTAATAAAATGAAAAAAAAATTCGATTCTAAATGAATTTTTTCTTTATCATTCTCATAATTATCATTCTTATAACAGCCCTTCACATAGCGCATATAGGACGAGATGTACTTTAATATAACGATCGAAGCACATTTTCGATCGTTTTTTTTCTCTCCTTTCCACTTTTATTCTCTGTGCTGTGTGTGTTTTGTATGCCTTCATTTAAGGGTGAAGAAAAATCTTCAATGCATTTCCTAGTTTTATTTCATGAAGGGTTCTTTCGCTTGCAAATGCTTCAAATGTTCGTTACTATACGTTGTAACATATTCGTTTTAATTATGTTAATATGCTATGTATATTTTTTTGTTGCTGTATGTACACCTTGGCATTTCTTGTTACAATTCTTCCATGTAAGAACTTCATTTTGAGGCGATTATGCTATTATATTTAACTTTCCGCATCAATCGCATTAAAATGCTCAGTTTTTAACGGAAAAATAAAATTTAAAGCATAATAAAAATGCTCAAAAACCGTACAACAGATTTGCAATTTTGTGAGCCTAGATCATTAAATACTGGCTTGTTTTTAAGTAAAATATTAATGTAATACATTCTGTGTTGAACTATGATGCAATTTATGTTATTTTCACTAAGTATCAAGTGATAATAGCCTTGTAATTTAAGAAAGCAATTTAAATACTTACTGAATTTATCAAACTTTGCTGAACCTCGCTGAATTAAAGAAATTCAAATTTTTAACCGATAAATAGCTATCACTACGTGCTACTTTTAAGTAATTCACAATTATTCAATTTGACAAATAAATCGCGTTTTGATAGTAAAATATCTCCAAGGTCACTGTAATGATAATTGAAACATTCATAATTATTGTAAACCACTGAGTGCATGAGTATGGGAAAAATTGAAAATTCTTATTGATTGGATTTACTTCCATAAAGCCTCATAAATCATTAGATGACAGAAATAATAATGATACAACAGCTATTAATCCAGTAGTTCATCCCAAAAAACATTCAAGTTTAATTCATAAATCTCGATTTTCACAGCAAAATGCCACAGAATCTAGGCTTCATTTCATGCCGTCAAGCATTTATTTCATAGTCTATAGGAAATGATGCAATAGTATTAGTCGAGAAAATCGAAGGGAATATCTGCAAAGAAAACAGCATCGTTTAAGAACAAATAAATCTTAATTTTTCAGGTACAAAACAATGTAAATTTCTGCTGAAAATTAAAAAAGTATCTATTTTATACTGCCTGCATATCCATAAGATGTGGAGAATGTAAGAAGAGAATAAAAATGCGGCATAAGAAAAAGGATCCTCAAGTTGTCGTCGTCGTTCATAGCACAAAAGAATGTGGAAATATTAGATATAGAGGTATATGAGTGAACTGGAACCAAGAAGAAGCATGAAAAAATATTTCTCGTGTGTTTTTGTTACTTTCTTTTCGCCTTCGCTTTATTTTTATTAACCAACTGTCCACTTTACTACATTTAGGATTATCAGTCATTTTAAGCTTTTTGTGTTGTAAGAATTAGTAAAAATTTCTTAGCCTAATATGACTGTACTTGCTCTTGTAATTATAATGATAAAGATAATTGAAGATATTCACTTAAAAAAAAGATGTTCTTCGACTGTCCTTGTCACTTGATTTAAATTTCAATTAATTAATTTTCTTCTTTCATAAAAATTGTTCTTTTGCCTTCTTTTTTCCTTCACACTTACTCGTGCTGGATATTACTTTTAAATAATAATTATCAAGAAAGAAAAAACACTCAATCAGAGATTATAATAAAGTATATAAAAAAAAAGTTTGATGATAATCAACGATCTTCTGTCGTAGTATCTTCTAGATATTATTTTAGTTGTTGATGTATGTTGATGATGTTGGAGCTACTTATAATAAAAACAAATTTTATTCTAGTAGTATTCAGACAAATGTTGTTTCTTCTTTAACCAAGCATTCAACAATTTCTTCTTCTAAGTTATCCTTATCAGCTTCCAAAGTATCTGTATCAACATCTGTGGATTAAATAAAAATGTAAAATATTAAATTGTGGTTAATTTGGTTTATGAGAACATTTTTCATCTTATGAGTTTGACGAACTTTGTGAGTTATTAATAAGATTCAAGGATAAAATGTAACACAAGGTTTCTACGTAAACGTAAGGTTTTACGTAACCCAAGCTTTACGTAAACGTAAGGTTTTACGTAACCCAAGCTCTACGTAAACGTAAGGTTTTACGTAACCCAAGCTCTACGTAAACGTAAGGTTTTACGGAACTCGTACGTTTGTAACGTTAAATATTACGTAATCTAGTCAACAAAATTATGTAAATGTTATAAATGTCGCGTTTATGCGAAAATGACTTACTATTTCTCAATTCTATTCGTTTAATTCTCAAACTTTCATAATCTTGAATTCTCTTTTGACGATAATCCAAAAATTCTTCACGCAATTTCGCTCTCTTCTCAAGTAATTCCTTGCTTGCACGTGTCTGTCTCAAACGATCTTTTGTCTCAAATTGTGGATAATATTTCTTAAGGTTCTTTTTGATTTCCTTTTGTTGAGCATCAGCCAAAAGTGTTTGTGGTCGTGGACGCCAGAATAATTGAAGGAAGTTCTTTAAGTTATTTCGTCTTAAAAGACGACCTTGAAAACTCCATAAATAGTAGCTGTGATCATCCTTGACTTTATGTGCTCCGAGTCCAGTTGCAATATATCTACCAGTTGGATCCCATTCACATTGAAAAGCTCCATGATGATCGCCAGTATTCATGATTGTGAAATCTGATGTGTCGACAAATTCAAAGACTCCTTGTGTGCAATTAGCAAGGACAATGAAGCCTCCTCTCGGTGACCAAAACAAATGTGTTGCTGATTTACGTTCCATTTTCTTTACTAATGACACTTTTTGTCCCTTCTTTGCTTCAAAGAAACTCACATTACTTCCGCCAGCACCCTCACCGTGAATTATTGCAAACTTATCGCCAACTGGTTCCCACGAGAATGCAGCAATTGGTTCCTTGATTTCAACAGAATCGACGGGAATGTCCTTCTCACGCATATGGAAAATCTCAAAATTATAAAACATACCAAGGAATTTGACATCTTGATCTTTTAATCCACCCTTCTTTGACTTACTAAAACGATCTACTTTAACGCCTAAATAATCGCCACACTTTTGCCAATGAAGTTTACAGTCAGCAACATTGAAAAGATTCTTCATACGAATTTCACGTTTCTTGGGAATATCCATTAATGTTACTTTTGCTGGTACATCAGTTTGTTCAGCTACCCAATATGCAATAATATTATCAGTTGGTGACCATGCAAATCCTCGAATGCCGGGAATTTTAACAGATTTCTTCTCAAGTAAAAAGAATGTATCAGTTTCATAAATATGAATAGCTCCATCGCCCATCGATGCTACATATTTATCATCATGAGACCAACGGAAGATTGATGTTGGAGCAAGTGGATCAGCAACAAAACTACGTTTCTCAAGTCCAGTTCTTATATCCCAAATGATTACTTTACTTCCACCGCTAGCTGTTGCAAGTCCATAAGTTACAATAAAGTTTTCTTTTGGTGAGAATTCCACATGCGTTGTTCCTATATGTGGGAATTTATTGATACGCTGGAATTGTGGACCACCCCAAATTGCCACACCTTGTTTATGGAAGGCTACGATATAAGTTCCGAGAGGTGACCATTTGACAGTTTGTTCAGTGAATTTATCTTTCCTATGCAGTTCGGTTGGATCAGGTAGTGAATTTTGCCAGAATTGAACTTGTGACGGTGAACTTCCATTATCAACGACAACACAATATTGATCATAAGCATCAGGTTCAGTAAGGAAACTATACAAATCGACAGTTGGCGTGTATGGTTGTGCTGTTGGCGGTACCCATTCAACGGGAATACTCTCATACTTTTGGAAATCCGTAAAAATATTCACAAGAAGTGTATGAGTCTTGTCAAGACGATAATTGCTATAAACTTTGACAGCTTCTTCAGCTTGTGCCGGTGACTTGTATTCAATATAGCAATATCCTTTAGTATATCCATTATCATCTTTTGGATAGTACACATTGACGATTTCACCGCAAGTTGTGAACAACTTTTTGATGACATTTTCCAATTTCTCTTGACGTGCTGGCTCAACTTTTGGGATTTCATCAACTACAATGACATTTTCCATGCCGTCTGTTTCGCATGGTTTCTTCTTAAGCAGATCCCCAAGTAGTTCTAGAAAGATTCATGAATATTTATATTAGAAAGTAAATCGATTAATTGAGGTTAGAAGACTTTTTCATTTTACATAAAGTTATATCCTTATTTCTGTCTTTAATCACTATCTTATGAGACATAATTATTGTAATCACTTGTATATCATACAATGATGAGTTAATTAAACTTACAAAAGTCTCAATGTCACTCAAAAAACAATTTTTTTGATCACATTTTTGAATATGTTGGCAATTTTTTCATACCTTCATCATTAACATCGTCCACAAAATCATCTGGGTCTTCAAACTCTTCAACTGGTTCTTCCTCGAACTCCTCGTCCTCGTTATCACCTTTATATTCTTCGTTACGTTTCCTAGCCATTCTAAGTCATGAAAAAATTAATTTTTTTCACTTGAAAAATTTTGCTCGAAAGAACTGAAAATCGTCGAATGTAAAACAAAATCGTCGACTGCTTTATGCTGGATACTTTTCTTGAAAAATGGAATTTTTGTATGACAAACTAGATTTTAATGCTGTGAGCAGGTAGAAAATGCACGCAAATAAAGTATTTTCAATGATAATCTAGAAAAACTATGTTTTTTTCTTGAATTTTCTCATAAAAAATGAGGAAGTAAGGATGCAGACATGTAAAGATTAATATGATAGATGTTTCTGCATTTAAGGATTCATTTATTTTCTCGTAATTTCAGTGGTAATTGACATAAAGTTTTCTCATTAACATTTTTCGTTTGAAACTCGTCTAAAGTGTCAATATCCGCATAGATTTGAATTTTTTTGAACGTTACAACTAGAGACTTCAATTTACTACATTTATAAATCCATAAAAGCTAGGGCTCAGTTCTCATCAGAATTGCTTTATTAAGTGTTAAGTTAGCTTTAAATTTAAAACTGTACAAATTCAATTTAACTTAACAATTGTATGGTTTTAAATCTTAAAATTACTGAAGTTTATGAATTAATCAGTATTGATTGATTAGTGTTTCCTTGACGTTTTGTGATTAAACGTAATTACCAATATTACTTTTTATTTAAGAACTATACTACTTCTTTTGTTGACAACAGCCACATTTGTTTTGAAATGCTGAAAATGTGAAAAAGCAAAGAGCAAAAACCCAAATTGTTCCTAGTAACTTATAATTTCCTTTTTATTGTTCGTTCATCTAAAACTTTAATACAGTTTTTATTTTTCATTAATTAATATAATTACTTTACTATTTTTTTTATTTAATTTTTCCTCAAATCATTTTCATATAAGAACGAAGTAAAGAGAAAATAAATATAAAATCTCTTAAGTTGATTTTTAAAATAAACTTTCTTTACAACTTACTCAATTTGTTTTAATCAGATTAGTTTCTATGAACTCTCTGTTGGGCACGAAAAATTTTACATTGTAATTAATAGATATTTCTTTTGAAAATACATCTCTACATATAGTTAAATCTGATTTGTTTTTTAAAATTTTCTCACAATTCTTCTCTTTTTTTGAATAAAATTCCTGAACAAAAATAAATTATTTCTGCTGTCAATTTTTTTCTCACTCAAATTCAACTGACTTCAACCCAGGCTTAATTTTCTTTTCTTATTAACCAAATTATCACATATAATTGTTGTTGAACCAGCAAGAAATTTCGAATTAGAGGGCAAAGCATTAGAGGATAATGGAAGAGCTTGCAAGCTTGAGACAGTCAATGGAAGTGGATCCAATTTTTGTAATTGCTTGACGGGTTTCTGCTCAAGATGAATTGGCGATTGTGGCTCTGAATGAAATGAACTTTGTGTCTTTTCTCGCAACAGCATTAAGTGATCGAGCTTATCGACAGTTTCTTTCAATTCTGATTCCCAATTCTTCTGTTCATCTTGCTTTCCATCACCTCCTTCAATTGGACGAACAGCCAAAGTGCGTACTTTCATTCTCAATGTCTCTACATCGTCAGTATCATCGAGTTCCGCATCAGTTTCAGTCCTTGAACGACTTGTTGACCTCGAATGTGAGCGTGATTCAAACTCATCGTCCAAATTAAAATCTAAATTCTTATCATTAGTTGTATTATTGTTTTCATTAGGAATATCATTCGATTCCGCTCCAACACCCGGTTCACGAACTCCCAATAAATCCCCACGCATCTTGTGAATCGATTCACTTATTAATTCTAAATTCTTGAGAGAAGTTGAGTAATTTGTCTTTGCTTTTTGAAGCAGTGCCTGAAGCTGTTGAATTCTCTCCTTTTGGGTATTTAATTGATCTTGACATATCTGCTTCTCCTCGAAATATGGACGTGATTTCGTTATACATGACTTGAACTTTTGTTCTTGGAGTTGTACCTAAAGAAAAATAATGTCAATCAATTTATATACAATTAATCAATTTTTTATTGATTTAAATTACTTTTGATTCCGCTGCATGAAAAATTTGTGTTTTCTCTTGATGCAACGTTCCTGATTCAGCCTTTTGCTTTTCGGCATCCATTACCTAAAACGAGCATAAAATTTGCATAAACATTATTATTTACCCCGAAAAGTAAAGTAAAGTTACAAAGAGTAACAGAAACAATGTACAACTGTTGTGTGGGTCATTAGAGCGTGTCATGTGTTTAATGCATTTCATAAGCGGTGTACTGAATTGTTCACTTTGGCTGGCTCGATAATTTTTCATAAATGTTTGAGAACCTCACAATAGTTTTATGATTTTACGATAATTTGTATGGTTTTGAAATTTAAATTTCACAAAACCGTTATTTTTGAAGTACTATTTTGAAGCTTTTTTTTACAATAAATAGCTCTTAAAGTATCAGCTTTAGAAAGTAAATGCGTCTAAATTCCCAACTCGAAACTGTTACTTGTTTTTTATGTACGAAAATAATTTTACTCCATAAAAAATGCATTAACATGTGACCAGCACGGTAGAAACAATTAAAATTGATGGAATGAAATATACAGTAAAGGTATTTGACATTATTGTGCATTTATGATTTGTATATTTTTAGAAATTTATGCATTGAACGAACCTTGAGCGTTGAATTGTTCAACATTTCTTGCCAAGCATTATCAAATTGCCACTCATGTGAATTTGACATAAAACGTTGTTCAGCTAATGCCACTGTCTCCTTTGCTGCCGCATGAATTTCTATACACAATAAGAAAGATAGATAGACATAAATTTGAGCGCATTACGATAGTTTCGAATTACAATAACGAGTATCAATTTACCATTCGCTCGTTGATATTTTGCAGCAGCAGTTTGACATTCTATTTGTGCAATGCGAGCTTGTTCTACGGCATCATGATAAGGACGTGATTTTTCGATATTTGAACTTCCGAGTTTCTTTTTTAATACTTTTAATCGGCGCGTTGCCTCATTATGAAGTATACGAAATGTTGAGTTTGCTTCCTGTTAAGAACAAAAAAAAATGTTGGTAATTTGGGACAATTATCGATTTATGCTTGACAAATGTTCACCTCAAGCTCTATTTCCAGCTTATTGATGTCATCAGTATAAGTATTCAAGTTCTCTAGCTCAATCTAAAAGTGTTGAAATAGGAAAAACAAAGGAATCGTGATTATTACAATGGAACTTGTGCCTCTTTGTCAATTTCTATGTGCTCATAAAAGCATATTCGCAATAATCAAGTTGTTGCGAGCTAGTTGTTAACATTTTGCTCCGCGTTTTATTTACTAATCGTATTATATAGTTTGTCACAATCAACGTGACTCATTAATAATTTCCTTTTAATTGTAGTGAGGAAAGAAGCACTTGTGTTTAATTTACGCAAAACAAATTTTCAGTAGTATTAAGCACATGACATCTTATATTATTTTTTGTTTATTTTTATCTTATATACATTGACAAATGAGCTATGCAGCGACGTCATGAGCACAGACCTGTGTTTCTTCTCTCTTCTTTTAATTCACACGACGATATTTGATATTTCACTTCCTTTAAGCATTTTTATACAGTAATATTTGTGGGAATTTCCATTGCATACCTGAATTCGTGGGTCTAAACCATCCTCATCTTGTTCCATTATTCAATTGAATTGTCTGCCTTGTTTGTTTACTTATTTCATGATCCAACAAGATTATTTAATCGATTTTAAGAGCAATAATAAAAATCAATTAAGTGAAATTTTCAGCAACAACAACAACAACAACAATTTCTTCGATCAATTATTTTTTTCACTATTTATGAGATTTAGATTATGTTTAATTATAAAACTTTACGATAACTTCACTGTTCACTAGTCTATCACAATTATTAAAACATTTGCAGATAATTTGTTGATGTTTAAATTCCTCAAAATTAAATTATAAAACTTTATAAAGTTAGATGAACGAAGAGATTGATGAGAAATTTTGTGATTCTTCGTGCAAATCGTCGAAACTAGCTCCCGTTTAATTTGATCCGAAAGATTCACAACACCTTTTGCATTTTATGGCAAAAGCTTGTTATTCTTTGGACTAATTCTACACTTTCTTAGTTCTTATCAAGATTATTGATTTTTGATAGCAGATAAAGCTTAATTAAGTGCTCATTCACTGATTGTTTGTATGTTTTTAAGTTTTCTGCTGGATCTTTCGTATAAAAGCAGTTCCTTTAGTGCTTTTGGAATTGACTTTTCCGTTACATTAATTATAACAGTTTATTCAAATTTTTCAACGGGTTTTATTTTTTTGAAAAACTTTATAACAGTTTGAGTGACAAGTGATGTAATTGACGAACGACCCTTTATCACAGAGAGTCAGTCAAAAACAGAAAGTATATTTATTTTTATTATTAAATCATAAACGTAAGTTCTATACACTATAATAACTTCTCTAAGCTGGATATAATTGATTATTAAATATAATATAGGAATTATCAATATTTGAAAGAACTAGAACAACATACATAAACTTAAAGATGGATCAGCAAAATTGCTTTTCACCAAAATCGTCATCGCCAAGAAGAATAATTCAAGACAGTAGCACAGGAACGTTAAAAACAAAAATTTCACTAGGACAGAAATATCCACAAATTATAAACAGTGGACCATTCTATCTGGTAAAGGAGCCTCCTGAAAAAAATAAATTGACAGCATCAACAAATATGTAAGTAGTTCATTGGATCCATTTTAATGATATGTACTTACTAATTCATTTATTAACAACTTCAGGCTTCAATACTATGGACTAGAACATACATATAATAAATTTAATAGCAAGAAAGTTAAGGAGCAGCTGTCTTCATTCCTTCCTACACTTCCTTGTGTTGTCGATGGTCCTGGAGTAATTGTAAGTCTTTAATTTTATACTCATTTCTCAATAAACGCTTAGGTTCTTAATTATTGTTTCACAACATAGGATAATAGCTCGCTACGAAGTGTTATTGACAAGCCACCAATATGTGGAAAAGAATTAGTATCATTAAGCTCCTTACAACTTGCTGGATTTCGACTCCATCCAAATGTTCCTGTAAGTTTACACACATTCGTCTATACCTAAGATTTTTTAAAAGCTATTTAAAATGTTTTCTCTTGCTCACGAATTAAGCTTCCTGAAAAGTATCGTATTCTCAATTCAACGCCTACACGAAAGCACAAGAAAAAAGACAAGAAGCATAAATACGACAATAATATTGTACAGGATGTATCAGCTTCTGGTGATCAACCAGATATTCATTCAGAAAAGAAACACAAGAAGGGTAAAAGACATGATGACGATAAGGAAAGAAAAAAGAGGAAAAAGGAGAAGAAACGTAAAAAACAGAGTAAACACAGTCCTGATCATCCTTCGAGTATCTCAGAGACCCCATAAATAATTAAATAAATAGTCATAAAAATTGATTAATGAATTCTAAGAATTTCTATTGTTTAAATCTCGTTTTATATGAATAATTTACATAAAGCTATTGAATGATCTACACCACAAAATACTCGATGAACTTTTGCACCAACTAGAGATTTAAATGGAAAATATTGATCATTATCATGTCCTATTCCTAAGCATCCAAATTTGTTTCGTCCCCACATAAAAAGATCGTTGTCTGAATTAATTGCTGCCATGTGATAAAGTCCACAATTTATAGAAATTATGCGATTTTGAGGATTAAATGAGTTCCTTCCGAAAAGTGTTGGTGGAATTAATTTTGGTTCTTTACAGAAATCCACGTTTGGACCAAATCCTAATAATCCATAGCCCCAGACAAAAACATTTCCTTCGTCATTTAAGATCATTGAAAATGAGCCTCCAGCTGCAATGTCAGTGACTTTTCCAATGTTTTTGAGATACTTTAAATGCAATGGAACGTTAATCTGCTGCTCGTCACTGTCTAGTAATATTTGATTATATTCTGAATTGCCCCAACCAAAAACTTCTCCTTTATCATTCATAGCTAGCACAGCATCTCCAGTACTTGATAATTTAATAATTTTCTCTTTTTTTATGTCGCCTTCAACTAATTTTGGTAATTCTTGATTATTGTAAGTTCCAAGTCCAGTTTGGCCATCTGCAGACCATCCACAAGAATAAACTTCCCCATTTTCAGTTAAAAACATCGTGTGATCTTGCCCACATGCTATATCTTTAATTCTTTTGTTTTCAAATAATTCTGGAATTAATCTGTTAATTACTTGACTTCCTAAATAGTTTTCATCCTCAATTATTATTCGAGCACATTGACCATAAGAGTTATTTCCTAAAGTAAAAATTACACCTTGTTCTGTAAGCACAACTGTATGTGCTCGTCCACAACCAACTTTTATTACTCTATGAATTTCATCAGGAGACTTCATTGGTAATTCTATTGGAGCTGGATATAATAAAAGTTCAATAGGCTTATTTATGATTCCGAGATGCTTATGATATCCAATTTGTGAGTCTGTATTTAATCCAGAACCATACAATGTGTAATTTCCATGTTCTTCAGTCGGTTCAACAGCAAAAATTGAAAATCCATACCCTGCAGCAGCATCAATCACTTCAAATCTCTCGCCAAATGGCATTCTTTTAGGATATTTTTTCATCGTCGTCAAGCCATGTTTGTGAACTTTCAATGATGTTGCAAGACCCAAAGCACCAGTTTCTTGCATCCCCCATACATAGATTTTGTTGTGAGTTGTGGATGTCTTTGGTTTTATTCGATAAACTGTTGAAAAACATAAATTGTTAATTAAAGGATGTATTATTTTTGGATGAACGAGTTTTTGAAATTTAAAAGTAGTTAAAAACCATACAAAAGTTTAAAAAACAATTGTGGAATTGTAGTGTTTTGAAACATTTCAAAATTATAAAATCCGTTATGTTTTGATCATTAATCTGAATTCAAGTCATATCTCGTAAATATAGACAAAATGCTGTCTAAACCTCATCCTATTCCTATAAATTCGCTAACGGTGTCATTTGTTTATATTTGCACAGCATACACAACCTTAAATATTCGTTCTATACGAAAAAATTGAAAACCATTTTTATGTGAAATTAAACGAGAAAAACATTAATTTAATTACTCAAACAAAAGAGGAACAAAGTTACTAGATAATCATGCTGGACCAGAATCAATTAGTCATAGGAATATCCGTATTATTATCATTTTTCGTTGGCTATAAATATGGATTAAAAACTTGTGATAAAAATGAGATAGAACCTGAAGACAAGGAAGAAGACAAAAAGCTTTATAGAGATACAGCACCACGCGGTGACTATAAGATGGTTTTAGTCGTGAGAAATGACTTGAAAATGGGAAAAGGAAAGATTGGTGCTCAATGTGGACATGCTAGTGTTGGCGCTTATCAGACCATTATGAAAAAGAACAAGGCAATATTAAGGCGTTGGGAGAATTCTGGATGTGCTAAAATATGCGTTAAAGTTGAATCAGAAGCAGAATTAATGAACATTAGGAAAGTAGCAAATGTACGAGGCTTGAATTTCTATTTAGTTCATGATGCAGGCAGAACTCAAATCGCAGCTGGAAGTGCCACAGTTTTAGCAATTGGACCAGCCTTAGTTGATGACATTGATACATTAACTGGGCATCTAAAATTACTTTAATAACACAACTCATTCACTTATTTTTATATTTGAGTTAATACTTTTAAGCTATTCAGCATTACTATTTGCTAATCTTATGAATTATTTTTGGATATTGGATTAATAAAATTTTGTTTTGAAGTCAAGTTTGCTGATTTATCTCCTTTATGCTGTATATAATAATTATGCTAATTCCAGTGGATTTTATTTGAACCGAATACTGAAGATCCATTTAATGATTTGTTCAGACTTTAAGTCGGTGTTATTTGATAACATACCTTCAAATGAGCTCTCATCTTGGAGTATTTTACGTTTCTTAAGCTTTGATATGCTCCGAACACTGTTAAATACAATATTTTGCAATTTTCTATGCAACAAACTCATGTTTATGTTTATTTCTTTTCCAGAGATGGAACTATGCCTTTCTACTGGATGTCACATCCAAAATTCATAAATCAATGAGGCTCAAAGAAATTTCCATATATTAATGCTTCTTAGGCTCATTATAGTATCTTTAATTAATTTCTATGGAAGAATTCACTCTGATTTAAGTAAATTAATTGATTTTAGACGTTTAAAAGACCCAACGCTGCATCTAAAAATTTACGCGCGAAAAAATAAAAGTGTGAAAAACAACAGTCCAAAAATTAAATAAATTAAGGTAAACAACAATCATGCCAGTCGAAATGGAAGAAGTTATCAATGAAGGAGCATCAACTTCATCAGGAACTGCCCCAAATAAGGCTCAAGAGAAGAAGAAAAGCATTCCATGGATTGAAAAATTCAGACCGCAAGTTTTTGAAGAAATTATGGGTAAATATAAAGTTAATTAACATATGTGACTGTTCTAAGGACTGAATTATGATTACAGGAAATGAGGAAGTTGTCTCTAGACTAGCTGTTTTTGCAACACAAGGAAATACTCCAAATATTATTATTGCTGTAAGTTGAAACTGTCAATAACATCCAATCGAAATCTAATATATTAATCAATGTATATAGGGACCGCCGGGCGTTGGAAAGACGACAACAATCTTATGCCTTTCAAGAATCCTTCTTGGTGAAAACTTCCGTAATGCTGTATTAGAATTAAATGCATCAAATGAACGAGGAATTGATGTGGTCCGAAATAAGATTAAAATGTTTGCACAACAGAAAGTAACACTTCCAAAAGGACGTCATAAGATAGTAATCTTAGATGAGGCAGACAGTATGACTGAAGGAGCACAACAAGCACTACGTCGAACAATGGAGATTTATAGTGGAACCACTCGATTTGCACTAGCATGTAACAACAGTGAAAAGATCATTGAGCCAATTCAGTCAAGATGTGCTATGATTAGATTCTCAAAGTTATCTGATGCTCAAGTATTAGCAAAATGCATTTTCGTATGCCAAAAAGAGAATCTTGACTATACAGAAGACGGCCTTGAAGCTATTGTTTTCACATCACAAGGAGACATGAGACAAGCATTAAATAATCTTCAGTCAACAGCCAATGGATTTGGTAAAATCACAAGTGAAAATGTCTTTAAAGTATGCGATGAACCACATCCATTACTCGTCCAAAATATGCTTGAACACTGCATTCTTGGTGATGTCCATAAAGCATACAAGATTATGAAAAAATTATGGATCTTGGGATATTCAGCAGAAGATATAATCGCAAATATCTTTCGAGTTTGTAAGAAAATGGAAATGGATGAGAAATTAAAATTGGGCTTCATTCGTGAGATTGGCGAGTGTCACATGAAGATTATTGATGGAATGAATTCATTACTACAAATGTCAGCACTTCTTGCACGATTGTGTGAATGTACCTATAGTAAATAAGTCATAATTTATAAATTCAATAAACCTTTTTTCAAGTTATGATATGAGTTGTGTCCCAAAAAGTAACGTATACGCAAATTTTAAACAAGCATTCAGTGACTAATCGTATATCCATCCAAAAATCACTAGTCACTAAATTTCCATAGAAGAAAAAAAAAAGTTTCAGAGCATCAAAAAAAGAGAAGAAAAAAAATTAAGGACTACCGAAAAACAAGTTAATTAAATAAATTCTGATAATATAAACTGCTATGACCGAATATAAATTAGTTGTCGTTGGTGCTGGTGGTGTTGGGAAGTCAGCGGTAAAGTCAAGAACAGCAAAATTATGCTGAAAATTAACTTATTTTAAACATTTTGTTCTTTCCATTTTTCATTAGCTAACAATTCAACTGATTCAAAATCACTTTGTAGACGGTATGTGTTGCATATTATCTATTATAATCAACCAATTATAATGTTTTATAAGATAAAGTGTAATTAAAAGTGGATTTTTGTGACGTAAATTGACTTTATTGGAACTTTTAAGGAGAAATATTAAACAACAAGGCTAGCCATTTAGAATATAAAGAGGTTTTAAAAAAGAAAGAATCTTGATGTGTATAGTTATACACCTATATGCCTATATGTGTAGTTTGCATCATATTAGCCAGTTGCAAATCAAGTTTATGTTTTTATTTATTTTGCAACAACTGTTTATCGTCACGTTAAATATACTTTTTTAAGAAAACAGACATGATTGAAAATTCTGTGAGGAACTGATTAGTGAAATGGATAAAGAAAAAAAAAATATCAAGATAGTTCCATAGAAATTTACGTCAATTAAAGGACTTTAAATAATTAATGAGCCGACTGTGAATTTCTTCTAATTTCTGAATCTTTCATTGTTTTAGAATATGACCCAACCATTGAGGATTCTTATCGAAAACAAGTCGTTATAGGTGAGTTAAGTTTTTTTTTTGTGCGTGAACTAGTGTCATTTGGTGATTTGTGCGAAAATTATGATAATTAATTAAACTAATGAAAATGCAATTCACATCGGAAGATTCCAAATTTATGATTCATACACGACAATTTATTTATTTATTGTGTAAAAGAATAATGAAAGAAAAAAAAACTGGGCGTTTCAAAATTGCTCATCTTTCTTTCGTCTTAATTGACGCTTTATGATACAGAAAGATGATAAACATGAATCATCATTTCTTTCAATGCATTAAAATCAATTGAATTGATTCATCACATTCTTACTTATGCTCGAGGTCAATAATTGTTTCTAGTGACCAGAATTTTTGTGTTACAAAACCTTACAAATTCTCGCGAGTTAAGAAATAATTTGTAGGGTTCTTGAAAATAATTTATATAGCTCTAAGAATTGTTAAAAACATTTATACGGTTCTAAAGCACGATCGGTACATAAGATTTTCGCACAACAACAAAACATGCTCTTTAATTCCGCCTACAGATCACTTTGTTACTTTTATTATTATTATTTATGAATGAATGAATAATTTGAATCATAATAATTTATGCATTGTATATTTCTTCATTATTAGATGGCGAAACATGTTTATTGGATATTTTAGATACGGCTGGTCAAGAAGAATACAGTGCCATGCGTGATCAGGTTTGTATTAAGAGTCAATATATACTACATTTGAGAACAATTAATAATGCTTTTCTTATAATCTAATGACAGTATATGCGCACCGGTGAAGGATTTCTGCTCGTATTTGCTGTAAATAGTGCCAAAAGTTTTGAAGATATTGGTAATATATGATCGATATGATTAAAATCTGTCTCGTATGCTAATTAATTCAAATTTCAAATTCAGGGACATATCGCGAACAAATAAAACGTGTTAAGGATGCAGAGGAAGTGCCAATGGTACTCGTAGGCAACAAATGTGATTTACAGGCATGGGCAGTTGATATGAATCAAGCTAGAGATGTAAGACTATTTATATCTTGCTTACTTGACTTGCTTACTTACGTGCTCTGTATGTTTTATAGGTAGCGAAGCAGTACGGAGTTCCATTTGTTGAAACATCTGCGAAAACAAGAATGGGAGTTGATGATGCATTCTATACCCTCGTTAGAGAAATCCGTAAAGACAAGGAGCGAGGGAAAAAGAGCAAAAACAAGCGAATTGGAGGCGGTACGAATCGTAGATTCCGTTGTGAACTGCTTTAAGAGATTGCATTTTATTATTTTTGTCGTAAGCTGTACATGAACGACACATCAAGGCCGTGTACACATCCTTTTATTATTATTCATCACCATTCAATAGTCTACCATTTCTTTTTTACCTTGCTCACTTTAAACAATTTTTGCTACTGCTTTTAATAATTTTTTTTATATTTTACTTCCAACGAACGATATCAAAAATACGGAGTGATAATTGCTACATATTATTTTATTATACATCTGTCTCTATGCTTAGGGTTCTTTCGTTTATGATGTCGATTAGAAAATTAGAAAAAAAATGTTTTCAAAGAGTTTTGGATGTTATAAGTTGATGATATCTATAAGGTATCTATCTATCAGCATTCAAGGAATGTATTAAGGAGGTGTCATCATTCATGAATGAACCCTTCATAATTCAAATTCTGTTTTAAACATAATTATTTGACAACTTGGAAAAGTCTTATCATTGTGACATCCACAGTGATCTTGGTGTGGTATAAGACTTTTTCAATGAATTACATTATTATGATGATAGTTTTTCCATAAGACGATAATTCGAGAAAACCTTGTAAAATGCTTTGCAATACATAAATGAGGCCCATTCATAAATGATGATCTAATTAAGTGTATCACATGCAAGACTTTTAAATGTTGGACGGGAAGTGTTCAAAATATTCCAGACTGGTTGATGGATATCATTTATGAATGGTCCCTTTTAGTAATTTTTTTAAAAAAAGAGATGAGAAAAGAAAATGAAAAATTATATTAGTTGATAAGTTATATTCTATTATCATTTTCTGAGATGTGAAAATGCGGAATGATTAAGGAACGGATTTAAATCCATTCCTTTAATTTGTTAGGACAATGCCATTAATGTGAAAGTGCGATTTTTTAATTATTTTTGAGCGATGATATTCAATTCATGTTTTTTTCGTCTAATCACTCATATATGATTGCGTCGTCAAGGAGAAATTGAGATAAACCTAATTGTATAGTTTTAATTTTTTTTTATTAAAAAAATATTAATTTTCCTGATTATAGATTATATCTTTTTTCAATCTGACGATAAAAACAGGGATTAAAATGATTGATGGTTTTTGTGATATCACCTTAATTCCTTTATCCGAGAATTGCGTTAAGTTCAAGGGTTTACGTGAAACATTGTGATACGTCTTACGTTTACGTAAGGATATTAAGTTTTACGTTTACGTAAAATCTTTACGCCTTGTGTTTACGTAATGTTCTTACGTATACGTGTTACGTACAATGCTTACGTATCACAGCTAAAACTACGTAATGCGCTTGCGTTTACGTATTTTAAGGTTACGATTTAAGTTTAACGTATTTGTATTGCATAACGTAACTGTGGCTATAAGTTTACGTAGATCCTGAACATAACGCAACCAAAAAAAAAATTATTACTGTTCAAAAAAATCAAGTGTGACCATTTTCATCCCTGTAAAGCACAAAAAAATAATATCCAGGATGAAAAATAATGAAACATACGAAGTGTATTAGTTTTTATTATAGCTTTTCTATTATTGCTTATATTGATGAAAGAGAGAAAAAATGAATATAATAAATTACTACATAATTAAGGTAATGCCGAGGATGCTCATGCTACGAATTAATCATAATTGATAACACATGAGCCTCCTTGGCATTCAATGATGAAAAATGTTTAATGCAAGAAATTTTATTTAAGTAAAACATTTTATTAAAGAAAAAAAAATCATTGTCATTTAAATAAGAAGATCATGAGCTAAAGAACTTTTTGACTGATCGATGGGAAAAGTTGAGTGATTCAGACGGAACCACTGAATCATTTGACGACCATCGATCGTCGCCTTTAATTTCCTTTTTAATATAAAAAAAAAAATATTTGGAAGATCAAAGGAAAAAATTTCAAGTTTGTAAATTAATTAAGATGAAAAAAATAAAAAAAAAATCGCTTGATAAAAATTAAAGACTGTCTCTCTTAATGCTTAGAACCTTGGGATGAATTAACACGGGTTTTGGTGATGCGTTCTTACTAATTAATTTATCTAATTTGTCATTAATGTTTTTAACATCAGTTTCGTACTTTTTGAGAAACTTTTGGAACCAAATTGGTGGATGATCGTTATTAACTTGCATTAGTGATATTTGACTTGATCTTGAAGTGTTACTGCTATCAATTGTTATTAATTTCTTTGGGATAATTTCTCTTAGAGCTCCTCTAATTGTATTGTCTGTTAGACTGCGATCATCAAATGAACTGTTTTGTGTAAAGTCAGACAATTGTGGAATCTCGAATGTGCTCTCAAAAACTTCATGTTCTGGTGATATTGGCAGTTCACTTATGCCTTCTTGATATTTATTTTTACTTCCAATGCTTTCATTTGACGAGTTGTGTGATATTTCTGAAGATGTATCGTGGTAAATAGCTTTAGATCGTCTCATTGTAATGTCAGACAGTTCACATTCATCCAGTGCTTCAATTTCATACTCATCAGTTGTATAAATGTCTGAATATCTTTGACTTGAATGTACAATTTTCTTCTTTTTTAATGGCTCTAAATCATTAAGTAGCTTCCTTTTCAGTAAAGGAGCTTGTGAATTGTGTAAAAGAATTGATCGCTGATTTAAAATTGTGGAACTATTAATGTGTCTATTAAATGGTGTATTTGGGTCTATTCGCATCTTCTCTTTATGGATATATATAGCTTCTGATGGTATTTCAGCCAGTTTGATCCTTACCTTCTCATTTTCTGATTGTGAATGATTCTTAGTTGATTCGATTGCACTTTTTGTGAATTGACTATTTTGAGAATTTGAATAATGCACAGAACTAGCATGTCGTGAAAAATTCTCACGATCTTCGTACGGAATAATTGTTAAAGATGTTTTATCCATATCCTCTTCATTTAATAATTGCACAACATAAGATGTAAGATTAGCTTCATTAATACTTTCGTTAATTGATGTCTGTGAATCTCTCGTGACTGATTTATTATGATATTGTGTTGAATTATGAAGTTGCTTTGTAGCATAATCTGTGAATAAGTCACACATTTTTGTATAAAATGGAAATATTTTCTGCTTTTGGATATCTGTTTTGTTTGGGTCAAAAAATAGAATTTTGAATTTTTTCTTTAATCCTGTAAACTTGTTAGAAACTCGCATAACAGTCAAAAGATCCAATGATTGATCCTTAATTGTCTTCTTTAATTCAGAAACTATCCATTTCCAAGCAGGTAGTTGTGTTCTTGATGGATCCAAGAATATGTCGATTTTTCTAGCTACATATAATATTATATTTAATTAAATTAACAATAATAAATTTATGTTCAATTTACCGTATAAGTCAATTAAGAGATCGATTGATTCCTGCTTCCAAGGGAACCTTTTATAGCTTTTTGGATTGTAAATATCCATTTTCAATTATAATATATATAAAGTAGATATAATGCTTGCTTGCTATGCTGCTCTATACCAGTCTATGCTGTAACTGAAAAACATCGAAACATTTATATATGAACTTTAAAAGAACGTTATAGTTTTTATAGCATTACACTATGGGACAAAATTGAAAAAAGGGATTTACTTTGATTTTAGGACTTTTTCAAATTACGAACTCAGGAGGATTTTTTCTTGTAAAGGACATAATAATAGACTTCTATTCCAAATTTCAAGTCGTTTGGTGCTGTTTCTGCGATTCTATGGCTGTTTGAAGTTGAAAATAAGTGAAAATTCTGATTTTTTCATGTCATCTTTAAATTTAAAGTTCCTTAAGATTATTAAAGATATTGAAAAATGGTTTTCAGTTCCTAATAGTGATATATGAGAGCTTCATTTTGATATTCCACAAAGATTTTAACTTTATAGTTTTGGTATCGCTATGGAAGGATATGTCTGCTGTTAAGACTAAACAAGAAAAAATCCACTTGAGTTCGTAATTCGAAAAAGTCCCAAAATCAAAGTGAAAGTCCCTCTTTTTTTCAATTTTCCGACAAAGTGTTTTACACTTTATTTATCTGTTATTTAGTATGAATAAATCTTTTAAACTTGGAAAAAATATTAAAGCAAAAATTGGCCAGTAAAGCAGCAGCATCAATTTACATAAAGTGATGCTTATCAGCTTCATAAATGTTTTCTAAAATGCTGCGAATTTCCGATGAGTCACTATAGCGCTCACTCCATGACTGAATATATCCATCGAAATTGGCATCATATGTCTTCAATTGAACTTTATTATCAGCATCAAATTCAGTATTTGCTTGGACAAGAATTAATCTTGGCTTCTTGTTCAATAATACAATTTCACGCCATTTTGCAAATGGATGTGGACCGTCCTCATCAACTTTAGAATATTTCTCGTACATGGCATGTGCGCATTCAAAATCACCTGTTGATTTGTAAACTTGAAGTTTCAATAAAAAGTTTGCAATTGCATCACGACCAACAGTCTCAATTTTATCACGATGAAGTGTAATTGATAAATCTTTGCCTGGGACAGTTTCCTTAATTTCAAGAATTCCAGCTTCAAGCATTACTTTCATGATGACGAAACGTGCTTGTGAATGAGCCTGACCCCATTGTTTTGTTGTTGGATTCCACATTTCAGTAGCAATTCCACCGCCGTTGTATAAAAGTAGTAACCAATTGATATAAATGATATTATCTTGTTCAGCCTTATCAGTATGTCCAAAGACACTAAGGATTTCTCGGTTTAATGACAAATATAAGCCAACAGCTTCTGCACGACATTCTTCATAACTTGATCCTATTGCTTTAAATTTTGAGTCATAAGTTTCTCCTGGTTCATACCATGAAGTTATTGGACCTTTTGTTAATGGATTGATGACATTTTCCTTGTCAAAATTGAAAGATCCATCTTCCTCAATTCTGAATAATTTTCCAGATCCATGTCCAAGCAATTCATGTAAACCAACTTGAACCTCAAATGATGTTGCTTTGTATTGTTTCATTAAAGCTTGATCTTTTTCAGTCAAAAATGGAATTGGATCTGTTTTATTCACAGAAGCTAGAACATTACCAAGGGAAACATTTTTAAATCCTTCAGACTGTCTAATCTCATCATAATTAGGTATGTTAATGCCAGCTGGAACTCCGCTGCCTGCGAATGTAAGCACATCTAAGGATGTAAAGTCAGGCTTCAAGTAACTATCTTTTTCATATGTTGCTGGCCAAGGGAGTAACTTGATATATTCAACAGCTTGATTTACCAATGTTTGGAATTTAAGAGACATTTCCTTATTAACACAAGCTACAAATCCTTCAAATTCACCACGTGCACCAACGGGATCTCTATATGTCTCAATAAAACCAATATAAGTTTCAACAACTGGACCGATATCTTTAATCCAATAACGTGAACCTTCCTTATGTGCATCTAAGCTTCCTTGTTGGAATGACTTGACATATTCATCAATCATGTTCTTTTGATTTGGATTAGCCGCAAAGTTATTTGCAAGTTTCAATTCATTTGCAACTTTATCGAGAAGTGCTGAATAATCACCTCGAGTAATTTTAAAGAATGATCCATTCCATTCTTCTTCTGCTAATGTAATACCTTCTTTTTCGCCAATTTCTGATGATGCTAAACGGATTTCAAAATGAGCTTTTCCACTTTCATCAACAGTCTTGAATGTACGGCAGATATATGCTTCAAATTTCTTTGTCTTCATCCATTCTCCTACAATTTCTGCATCCTCCTTTGTGCAATTGCTTGAAAAGTATGTCGTTATTCCATGACCTTTTAATCCAAGAGACTTGTTGTCATCAGTAAGCGAGAAAATTGGTTCTTTTACTTTATTCCACAATTCCTCAACTTTTGATGAATTTTGTTTAAAGAACTGAGAATTTTTAACAATCAATTCCAATTTTGGCTGTTCAATTCCAGGCAAGATCTTACTGTCACCAAAACCTTTGTAATTTCCTGCATTTGACAAAAAGCCACAGCAATAAACCAAAAATGACTGAAAGATAAAGAGAGTAATATGAATTTAAGTATCTGATAAGAATAATTAATAATGCGTGAATTATTGACTTACAGTAAACTCTTCATCCGAGACAATTCCCTTACAAGATGTTCTCAAAGAATCAACAGATTCAGCTGTGAATATTCCATTGAATAGTGAGAATATCAAAGGTGCTTCTGGCGATGATTGAATTAAAGCAACAAGACCTCCATACCAGCTAGCCTGTTAATTAAAAACCATCAATCAAACTTACATATTTTGATGATGAATCACTTTTTACGAAACTTACTTTGGAAAAATAATGTGCATAACTTTTCTCGGTCTCTGTCAACTTTTGGAATGCTTTCATGCATTCTAAGTTTACTATAGGCTGCGAATTAGGTAAGATGAAGTGCTTACGCTCGCTATCTGACATTTTTACAGAGTAATTTCTAATTAAACCTTTTCTGATCTGTTGCAAACTTTTGAATGTATTGCTAGTGAATATTCGCCGAATCATTGAAATGAATTTATTGAAATTAATGTGAAGTTAGCACTCGATTGAACATAACCGGCAAATTTTTTATCGTGAAGCATTGTCAAAATATTAACATCTTTAATTAAAAATTCGTTTGCTTGTCATTTTCTTTAAAATTTAAGTTTAAAATAGATTTAAAATTTGAACGAACTGCACACTAATGACTGAACTGAATTGAGTTAAAATAAACAATAAATAGACTGCTGAACAGACATGTATAAAAGTTTGAATATATTTTGAACGTTAAAGTTTGCTGTACATTTCGGTGTTTTTAACATTGACCTGCTTTAGATCTTCAGTTTTTATATCTCATTCTTCTTAAAATTTTCTTCTTCTTGGATCCTTTCAACTTTTGATCTTGCTAATATATTTTCCATTAAAAAGTTCACAATTCCTGAAATTTCATTGATCATTAATTTTATTTAAAATGAGTCACTTGCACAGGAATTCAAAAAATATCTGGAACCTAAAATGCAGGAGCCCAGACACCTTCACAGCAATATACATACAGCTTTAAAATGTAAATAAATTCTAAATAAAATATTTCTCTACTCGAGATCAACGAGATATGTAGCGAAACATGCAATGAATAAAATATATTGAATGACAGAAAATCGTGTAAGAAAACCACATTTTACATTCACACGAAAAAGAAAATAAAATCGTTCATTCTTAAAATGTTGCAAAAATTTTCTGACAATCAATTTGAAATAATTTTTCGTTCCTTATCTCGATATCTACATGTTTTGCATTACAATACTTAGATTACAGCAGTAGCTTGTGCTCATAGAGGTAAGTTCTATAAATGGAAGAGTGGAAAATGTTTTCTCTCTTATCGCTCATACCCCTATCCCTCTTCTCTACTTTTACTGTGAATATAACAATATATATATATAAATAAAAACAACATAAAATATCTCATGGTGTAGTGAAAGGCAATTTCAATTTATAAACGATACAAACGATATAAATTATTGCACATAAGTCAATTTAAATAATTTATTTTATATCAATTCGATTGAAATCGGGGTTAGAGTGTAGAAAGAGACCGTAATAGATATTTATGTGCGTATATTTTAAATGCGAGTAATTTTTGATTAAATCAATTTTATGATTATGGAGGAGAAAGAGAAAAGATTATAGGAGAAAATAACATGAAACTATTTAAGTGATCTAGTTGTTGTGATAAAAATACTAGTTATACGCAGTTGGTTGGTGCTGTGCACAGCATAAAAGTGGAAAAGTAGGATGAATTTTAATGAAGAAAGTATTATTGAATATTTATTATCAAGTCTTAGTATTTGAATTCTTTAATTCTAATTATTTAAATTGATTTTTTTTCTAGCATAAAGGTTATTTTAGATTTTGTAAAACTAATGTAAAGTGTGAGTAAATTATTTCCAAGTAGGATTCAAACCTAATTTCCAAGCGCTAGAATAGTCTTTAAGACATAGAGCTATTTGGAAGATTTGATAGTTTCGTAAAACATAATTTACTTCTGGTTTCTAATTTGAGAAAACTTCACATTAGGTCCAAATAAAGGTAGTTGAGTCACAATGGACTTAAATAATACATATGACAAATGAACTTCACAACAAACTTTTCTCCAAGAATTTAAAATTATAAATTCAAAATGCCAATAAAGTACCAGCAACAGACTTGTAGAAGTGTATATGAATGTATATATAATGTTCTTAAAGAAAATATTTGCATTACACATTAATAGCTATTTGCCGTTGGCTGTGACTATGAAATATTTAAAATGCTTCACACGCTTTACACATAGTTTGATTTTACCTCCAATGTCGCATTTTAGTGTAAAAAGCTTTTTTTCCTCGTTTCCCTTCAGTGATTTAGTCTCTCCGCCCAACTTCCCAACTTTCGTGTGAAAATAATTCCCCAAGCAATTTTACTCCATTTCTTCAAACTTCCTCATACTTGGTTCGTACTTACATAGTTCATTGTATACATTTTCATTCTACAAATCATAAAAATTTAATTTCATTGTGTGCAACATGAACATTTTGTTCTTTCTGCTGTTTGCATTATGTTGGAAATAACTTAGGCAGTGCTGCACGATTGCCTCTTATTCTCTTTTCTTTTAATTTTATTTTGTCACATAACTGAAATACTCAATGTCAAAGGTAATAAAATGAAAGAATTGCAGCATGTAGAAGCTACAATAAAGTGAAGTATCATGTTTGCTTCAAGGTCCTTTAATACCGTCCCAAAAAAAGTGAAATCCTCGTCTATCATATTTATTTATTTAATTCTCAAGGATTATTTTGAAAAATCACAAAAGAGCAATGACACAAAAGGGAAGATTGAAGATGCAACTTGAATTTCTCAATTTATTTCATGTAACCATCTGTGTCAGTCTCTTCAGCACGTCATTCACTCTTTATTTTGTTCTTTTCTTATTTCGATTTTATTATTTTATTTCTACAATATAATACACATCTATCTACTTAGCCTCGCATAATAACAAGAGGGGGAAATTCAAATCGGATGTAATGCTTTAAAGGAAATTTATATAATATATAAAAAAAGAGGATTTGATTAGAGGATTGCATTGTGTTGCTACATTGTCGGTCTCTTAGTAAAAATAATATTGCAAATAAACAGGATCAAATTGCGAGGAATTTTAAATCTGTTTGTTAAATTAAGGAAGGAAAGTCGAGTCGATTTTTATTGTTTGTAACTTAAGCGCATTTTTGATGTGATCGATCAGATTTAATATGGTTGATCAAATTTTATATCATGGCATGGTACAGCTTATTGTGATGAGTAAGCTTGTAAATGCGATACGGTAATTGAATGCTTTAACTACCTACCAAGTTAATCTTTTCACTTGGAATTGTCAACAACCATGAAGTTCATGAGATCATTCACTGAAGCTACTATTTTTGTCGCTGATATCACGTAAACTATTGTTCATAAAATTGGCATGATTACTCGACTTCTGTTGGATGTAAAGGTCTTTTCAGGGTCTTTTGTGTTGCCTGTTTCTTTAGGTTCTTTGTTGTTGATAAGTTACTGATTTATTGTGAGCTTAGTTGCTGTGAATTTGTCAATTCAAGTATTGTTGCTTTACATTTTCAATCTTCATCTGCTTTTACTCCAAAGATTAGAGAATTTGGATTCCTGAATCTTTAATTCTGAACGCTTCTGATTGAAAACTTGAAATTCTTTATGTTTGATCGAATTTGACTAAATCAAACTCAATCCTTTAGTTTCGAAACTTTCAGAGTTTCGAACATTCGACTCAATTCTTTTCACACTCGGTCTATAATCCATCAACTCAACTTCGAGCTCTGCAGAAATCTTTTATAAATTTAATTATCAAACTACAACTGCGTATCATTCAAGTTCTTTAATCTTTAATCTCAAGTCCTTAAATCTCTGTCTTTATGTCAACTGTGAGTGATATTAATACTCTAAGTCATTAGTATAATTAACCCAAAATGAATGCATGAATGCATATTGTTTGCAAAAATGCTCAAGAAGAAGAAGACATTTTTAAATTGAAAGAATAAATCATCTGTCAGTTGTTTCGATGGAATTAACAAACAAATAGAGGAGCAGAAAACATGAAAGGAATAAGAAGTTGGGAATAAAATAAAAGAGATTTTCTTAAATTGATATAATTACTGCATGTTTGTATACATTTTAAGCCATGAAATTTTATAATCATTATTAATGTATAATGATGCAATTATCACATTTGTTTTTTAGTACCATCACATGTGTCTCATATATGCGTCATCGCCTCTTCATCACATAACATTTAAAAACTGAAATCATCTGTGATTTCTGATTCTTCTCAAGTGCTTCTTGTATGTCGATGAAATTGCTTCAGTCTTCATATTAATTTTATTTAATGACTCAGAACTGAACACATGATACTCCAATGTCATTTATTTTAAAATGATATAACTTTTTATTATACCAAAAATATTCTCGATTCTCAAATTTCTCAATGAATTGAACCAATTTCCCAAATACGGCGCTAAATGAAGAATCAATTGATATTGCTCGAACTCATGTTTGTTCTTTGATATTTCGTAAATTTTACACAATTGATTTAATTGACTTCATTTGATCTCATACATATATATATAGTTGCGCAAAGGCATCATCTGGGGGATGTGGAAAAATTAAATTTCATTTCCAAACAATTTTAACAAATTAAATAAATTGGAAGTTTGTGTTTATCTAGCTATGGGAAGTCAAATTTATCCCTATGTTATGACTTTATAGCATACATATTGTTTGCTTTCACGATATTTATTGTCAATATTTGTTTTGTCTACGAACTGCTTCTCTCTAATCAATAAACAAACAAATAAATTCTCAAAATATAACTAATGTCGCACGGACTTACTTACTCTAACTTGTTATTGAACATTATCAATTATGAACGTGAGCCATATGTCCCAATAATACTTATACTAAACTTTTTTTATATTTTCCTTTGACATCAATGACTCCGTAAAATATGATCTAACGATATTAGTCAGTCATCCATAAAAACTGACATCAAGTCTCTTTTTTTTTCATTCACTTCTCTTCCTTCTTTTGGCCACAACAATCAAACAATGAACCTATGAGTGATGAACCCAATTATTGTCAGTATATTCATATTCTTTGGCTTTTTATGCTCATAAATAAATGCATGCCGCATTTTTTGCGGACGTCCATGCATTTTAAGGTGATTTATAATGCATATTTTCCCCTTCTAATATTCTTTTTATTTTTTTGCGTGTGATTCCTTTATGTATACATAATGCATTTGTAAATATGAAAAAAATACACACACGGTGAAGTTATAACTAGAAGCTTGTGTGCAATCGTCGTTGGTTATAATTGTTGGCTGTTGAAGAAGGGATACAATTCATGTAGTTTAAACCCTGCAGTTGAAAAATTAGTTCTTTACAAAAAAGAACGAAACTCAATTAAGAGTGCAAAAACTTGCAACTGGTGAACGAATTAAAAATTTCATCCCT